TGGCAAATTATAATACACAAAAACTCTTCATTGTTGAATCAATATATTAGATATTTGATAGGACAGCTGTTTTCTTTTTAGTCAGTAACCTTTTTCAATTTGAAAAAAAATAAAAATCGTTGTAATAGGAAAGAAAAATAGAAAGTGGAAAAATGAGGTGCCCCAGCTGGAATCGAACCCACGACCCCAGGTTACGGAGGCCAACGCTCTACCACTGAGTTAAAGGGACATGTCCTGTTAGCTGACTGACAGAACCACTATTTGTACATAGTACATTTACTACCCAGATCTTTCACACTACTTTTGCATTACATGTAGTTCAAGTTACATTTGTTACAAAATAATTTCTTTTTCATTTGGCAACATCGATAACATCAGCTTTTACATAACTCAGGTGTCCGTTAAGGCCCATGGGCCCCTTGTTTTATATATTGCATCGTCCCGGCAGAGAAGGTCAGGTATTCATATTAGTACTAATCTAAATCTTGCATGTAAATACAAAAAAACCTTTCAATTCAGCAATATAATTAAATTATACCATTTTACTGAACCCAGGAATACTATAAATTATGTAAATCTAATAACGCAAGTGTCTCATTTGACCCCGAGTACCGACAGAGGAGAGAACAGAATACGCCTTGGCCATCACAACAGTTATCCCTAGGAGGGCCTCATAGCAAAATCAAACTAACCAGTCACTTATCCATTCCTTTCGCATTAACTACTATATATAGAAACACAAAGTAAACTCTCCCCGATACATGACCATTAACATAACAAAATAAGTTCATCTGTATTCAAACTCGGACAAAAATACTGTTGATTCCATTTCAGCTTTTAACCGAAGGCCAGTTATTTTCTTCTTTGAATACTTTCCACCTGCAATAATGATTCCGTAAATATCTCCTTGTGCTATCTTTTGACCATTTTGCAACTTTTCGCTTCGTAGCTCACGCGGTACAACGATTTTTAGCTTACCTTGGCCGAAGTGAGCTTATGCCGTGGTGTGGCGTCCGTCGTCCGTCCATCGTCCGTCATCCGTCCATCGTCCGTCATCAATATTTTACTTTAAACAACTTCTTCTTAATAACCAAGAGGCCTAGGGTGATGATATTTGGCCAGCAACAAACTGGAAATAAGAACTACCAAGTTTGTTCAAATAAATGACCTTCACCTATTTTCAAGGTCTCAGGGGTCAATTGTCTTGAAAACCTTAAAACGACTTCTTCTGTATAACCAAAAGGTCCAGGGTGATGATATTTGGCCAGAAGGATGTTGGCATGAAGGGCTAGCAAGTTTGTTCAAACAAACGACCTTTACCCATATTCAAGGGCACAGGGGTCAAATAAATTGAAATCTTTAAACGACTTCTTCTGAATAACTAAAGCATACATGGTGATTGCTTGTTGATGTGAATGACCTTGATACACTTTTATGGTCACATCTGGTCCATAGTGCATAAATCTTTAAAAGTCATCTTCTCAATAAACAAAAGGTATAAGGGGGTGAAATTTGTCAAGTTGCATTCTGGGAGTAAGGGCTATGAAGTTTGTTCAACTTTATGTCCATGTTTGACTTTCAAGGTCACAGGGGTCAAATGTGTTTTAATCGTTTAACAGGTTCCTCTGAATGACTTGAAGTCAAGACACTGATATTTTGCCTGTAACTTTATTTTACAAAACACAGGTCAGACAGGTGGAAATCCCGATGATTATCTTAAAATTATTCATTTTTATGAATCTATTTCAGCCAAATCCGATTGCTATTTTCCATAAGGAGTCTCACTTGATATGTTTATGTAGTATTATAAAAAAAAGACGAAAGAAATATACACTTCACCGTGATGTCCCTTTAAACAAATGGAAGCTTTGATTATCTATACCCAGGTATAGAGTAGTATTATATACGATCCACTTTTAAGGTCACAGATTTGTTCGCAAACAACACTGAAAAGTAGTTGATTGGTAGTCGAGTTGTATAGGCCATTTGGTTTCAAAATCATAATTCTGTGAATGTATCACAATCTGTAGTCTTGACATTTTACTTATATAGGGATTGAATGGATTTTTTTCATGTACATTACGGCAATGAATAGCAGTAGTTGATCTACATATCATGTGGAGCGCGTTAGCCCTCCTCAGAAGATATGTAGTAGATCAGCTACTGCTATTCATTGCCGCAATGTACATGAAAAAAAATCCATTCAATTCATATTTTAACGTTACGATCAACTACAATAAAAAAAGTTACAACACATTTTGTAAATTACGGATATTTAATATTTGTATCCGACAGGAAACTATAAGAATGGAACAGCCAGAACTCCAGCCTACACACAAACTTCAAATGTTCGACTTCCGCCGATCAGCTGATTTTAAATCGAATAATAACCAACACTTGATATTACTTTAATTTTTAAAAATTGATCTTATTTGACGTTTCTTTTTGCATTAAACACTACATATTATATATCTAAAAATGTTTTTGTCCGAACTATTTCAAATCATCGGTCACCATAGTAACAAACCAGGACACCCGTCGGCAATAGGCATAAAGCTCATTTGAAGTTAAAGGTACAGCCGTTGAATATGATGTTTGCCAAAACACCTGCAGATGTAAATGATGATAAGTTGACGGATGAAGTGCCCTGTGTCGTTACAAAGTTCTTTGGGTTTTAGTGTGCAAGTTGATGTCAAGGGGATTACCCAGCCAGACGTTTGGGTGTTAGAAAGTTTGTGACTACGAGGAACCGATTGTGAATACGAAGTCAGTATTTAATATGACAATGCTATAAATCTTTCTTTTAATTTCACAATTAAAAAAAAAAGAATGGTACAATGGTGGATCATTTATGATTTTTGTAATGTTTATTATAATTTCTCGCAACAACGTTATCTCGGAGACGGGGAGATTACTCTTCTCGGAAACATTACTATGCATAGTAATATGAAGTTGTAATTGTGTGTGATAGTGTATTCATGGTATAATGGCAGTTGTTTTCAGTTGGTAGATTCATGTACAGAATAAACATTAATAATGTAAATATAATCCTGTGAATGTCACACAATCTGTAGTCTAGACATTTTACATATAATCCAGTGATTGTCACACAATCTGTAGTCTAGACATTTTACATATACTCCTGTGATTGTCACACAATCTGTAGTCTAGCCATTTTAGATATAATCCTGTGAATGTCACACGATCAGTAATCTAGACATTTTACCTAAAATCCTGTGAATGTCACACAATCTGTAGTCTAGACATTTTAGTTATAATCTTGTGAATGTCACACAATCTGTAGTCTAGACATTTTAGTTATAATCTTGTGAATGTTACACAATCTGTAGTCTAGACATTTTACTTATAATCCTGTGAATGTCTAACAATCTGTAGTCTAGACTTTTTACTTATAATCCTGTGAATGCCTCACAATCTATAGTCTAGACATTTTTTTCTTAAAATCCTTTGAATGTCTATCACACATCAGTAGTCTGGACATTTTACTTATAACCATGTGAATATCACAAAATTTGTAGTCTAGACATTTTACTTAAAATCCTGTGAATGTCACACAATCTATATTCTAGACATGTCACTTATAGTCCTGTAAATGTATCACAATCTGTAGTCTAAATATTTTACTTATAATCTTGTAAATGTCTCACAATCTGAAGTCGAGACAATTTACTAATAATCCTGTGAATGCCACACACCGTTAGGTGATTACTTTGTCTTTGATTTCCATGTCATTGTCATGGTAACTAGATATACTAGTTATTTGGTTACAGGTGTCACACGCTGCTGTACTGTAGTAATTTGACTTTGTAGCCCTCAAACAATACCCATAGGCCATCGTCCCTGTCTATACCTACAGCCCATGTTTCCTCTGTGTCTGTGTGTATGACCCTGAGGAACTCACCAACTCCACTGATGAGTAGGACCCTGCAGGTGTACCAGTCCCCTATGATCAGGTTCCCCACACTGTCATACACAACACCACGGGGGTTAAATGGTCCACCTTCTGTTTGTGGTGTTGGTTTATATGTACTGGGAATGTCACCTCTATATACAAACAGCTCCTTGAAATCAGTGTCCATCACAACAACATGTTTGTTTCCATCACCACCATCACTTTCACTACTGAATTCAGCGACTGCCATATTGTGTGTGACAGGACATTCTGCAATCCTGAGTGGTGTACACACTAATGGTTTCCCAGTCCCTTTAGTCATTGTAGTACACACCATTTTACCATCTGTGGTAAATTTTGAGATGTGTTTGGTCATCCCTACAATGACATGGTTACTGGCTGTAATACATATACTCCAGGGTTCCTTCATGGTACTGAATCTGTGTAGCAGTCGCCATGATACCAGCTCCGTGATGTTGTTGTCTCTGTCACAGACCCACAGTGTGTGTGTGGTTGGTGACAAACTGATGTCATTGATCCTGACATTGTGTTTGACCTCCTGTATTACTTTACCCGTACTGTCCAGGAGATTTAATGTGTTATAGTACTGGGGCCACACCTGACCATCAGGGGTGGGACATATTGAACTAATGCCGAATAGAGACTTCCACCTCTTCATCACCTTGGTCTGTGGCAGTAGTTTGTATGTTGTCACTGCCTTCTTCACTTATGCTCCTGACCGTTGTTGTGTAGAGGGTTGTCCCATATCATCAGATGTTGAGACTGACCGATCCTGGTCAGTTAAAGCTTGACCTTGACCTGAGGTTATAACTTTTCCCAAGGCTTTTTTCAAGCTATCTTGAGGACTTTCATTTGGAGTGAAGTTGGCAGTACCCAGGACAGGTTTTACAGGGAGACTGTATATAGGAGAATGGATCTCACAAAACGTATCATAAATCTGTAAGTGTGAACCACGCTGGAGAGCTGCTTTACATGCTTGTAGTTGTTGTTTGAGTTGCTTCTCGTACATCTCGAGGTCCTGCTTGTATTTCTTTATCAGCTTGGTATTATCCTCTTCCATTTTGTGGTAAAGAGAGAGTGTCTGTGCTGTTAGCATGTCCAGCTCTTGTTTTAATTTATCCGTTTGCATTTTTAACTTTTGTGACAGCTTCTGAAAAGTACTGGTGTTGTCTTTAAGCAGGTTATCGGTAGCGGTGATGTATTTTCCAATTTGTACAAGGTCATTTTTTTCTGTTCTGTCTATAAAGTTTTTAATGTCTGGTTCTTTCTGAGGAGTGATTTCACTTAGCTCACTAACTGGATGGGCTTTGTGTATAGAAGAAAAACATTTTGAACAAACAAGTTCCTGACATTTTTCACAATAAAATTCTAGTTGTCTCCCTTTGTGGTGTAAACATGTCGTTTGACCTTTGATACGGAGAGGCATTTGGCTTTTAGGAGTTGCCATTTTGATGAAAAGCAAGATTATTTGTTGAAGCCTTGAAGATGTTTGTTGTTCTTGTATTACTATATTGTTATCAGTAAACACTCACAAATAAGAGTTAGTCATGTAAAGAATTGGAAACTTGACTTATAACTGTCCCATCCAGTGGTATATGTTTGTTAAACTTATAGCAATGTAAAAACACTGTAGAATAACTACCTCACGGTCACTGATGTCACAGGGTTACTGTGATGATGAATCAAAGTTTTCCATTCCACACATCTCAATGTTCACTTACATTGTCCATATTTATCCAGCCCAGGAATTCACAATCACATGATGAACTTCCCTCTAGCTTTGCTGATAAATCTGTCACTTTCCTGCTGACATTGTAAAAGTTTGATCAAAACTTAAAGTCAAAAGTTCGGCTGAATTTGACGATGCTGCTGACTAGTTAGTAATATCAACAAATTTCTGCTCTGGATACCTGTCACTGCAGCAATGCGTAGATCTTCCTGTTTCGACCTGCAGTTGTACAAAGTTGAAATAACTTCCCTGTTGAGCAAGGTTACCGACAGGCATACAGTGATTATAAAGAAATCCATAGTAAAGTAGGTCAGTGGAGGTTGTGTTTAAAAACCTTAGCATTTACATACCTGGCGTGCATTGTCTAAAATGTATGTGTATTCAGTAATCTGATAGCTGTACCTAAGGTAGATATACCTGTGTTTTGGGTAATAAGACATACCTGTACTGTAGGTAGATATACCTGTGTATTGGGTAATAAGACATACCTGTACTGTGGATAGATATACCTGTGTTTTTGGTAATAAGACATACATGTACTGTGGGTAGATATACCTGTGTATTGGGTAATAAGAAATACCTGTGTATTGGGTAATAAGCCATACCTGTACAGAATGTAGATATACCTGTGTATTGGGTTATAAGACATACCTGTACTGTAGATAGATATACCTGTGTATTGGGTAATAAGATATACCTGTACTGAAGGTAGATATACCTGTGTATTGGGTAATAATACATACCTGTATTGTAGGGAGAGATACCTGTGTATTGGGTAATAAGACATACCTGTACTGTAGGTAGATATATCTGTGTATTGGGTAATAAGACATACCTGTACCATGGGTAGATATACCTGTGTATTGGGTGATAAGACATACCTGTACTGTGGGTAGATATACCTGTGTATTTGGTAATGAGACATACCTGTACTATGGGTAGATATACCTGTGTATTGGGTGATAAGACATACCTGTACTGTGGGTAGATATACCAGTGTATTTGGTAATGAGACATACCTGTACTATGGGTAGATATACCTGTATATTGGGTTATAATACATACCTGTACTATGGGTAGATATACCTGTGTATTGGGTAATAATACATACCTGTATTGTAGGGAGAGATACATGTGTATTGGGTAATAAGACATTCCTGTACTGTAGGTAGATATACCTGTGTATTTGGTAATAGGTTATTCCTGTACTGTGGGTAGATATACTTGTGTATTGGGTATTAAGACGTACCTGTACTGTGGGTAGATATACCTGTGTATTGTGTAATGAGACATACCTGTACTGTGGGTAGATATACCTGTGTATTGTGTAATAAGACATACCTGTACTGTGGGTAGATATACCTGTGTACAGGGTAATAAGACATGCCTGTACTGTGAGTATAGATATACCTGTGTATTGGGTAATAAGACACAATTTTTCCAAAAGTTATTGCCCTTTGTTTATTTCAAAATTTGATTTTTGTCCGGCAATCTCCTCCTACATTTTTCAACAGATCTCTTTGAAACTTGGTATACATTTGATAATAATCATGATATGAAGTTGTGTCTCCCTTAAAAGAATTTTGATTCAACGATTTTTGCAAACATTATTGCCCTTTATTCATTTCAGTATCTTATATTTTGTCCAGAGATTTCATCCTACATTTTTTATAGCATGTCAGCTTACCACTCTTAGAATGATGCAGATCTTATTTCAATGTAAGAAAGTATATAACACTATATGGCATTCGACAGGCGTATATTGTTCCACCCCACAGTACTCTTGTTCTCAATTTTACTGCATTGCAAGGTCACAGGAGATATGCATATCTAGTGACTTTGAATGACAGGTCAGGGATACAGCCCATTAGGCCTCTTGTTTCTCTTGCAGGTGCGATTGTATTTATTGAGACTTAAATTAGGTTTGACATCCTAATATATTTTTATTGCGACGTTAGATAAGTTTGTTATCCCCCGCTTTCACCGAAACGGGGGATATTAATTTGGGTTTGTCCGTCTGTCTGTCACACTTCGTTTCCGTGCAATTACTGCAACAATGGTTAACCGATTTTTTCAAACTTGGTTACAGGGTTAAATGTCTTAAGGGCTCAGCCGAGTTTGATTACCACTTTCAGCAGACTTTATTTGGCAGAGTTATGGCCCCTTGAATAACGAAAAACGTCATTATCTGCAGTTTCCGCTTAATAACTCTAGCAAATATTAACCAAATTCCTTCAAACTTGATATCAATGTTTGTGTTCCTCTGTCTGTCTTTCTCGGACACTCTTTGGTTTTCTTTTGATAATTGCTGTAGATATTGTGCAGATATTTCAACCAAATTCTGCATGCCAACCGATGTGATTTGTGCATATGTACAGATAATTAATGAGGTATAAGGCTAGTAGCTTTGTTGGTAATTAAAAGCCCAACAAAGTATGAGAACGAAAATGACCTTGACCTACTATCAAGGTCACAGGGGTCAAATATGTAAAACTTATCAAACAATATCATCTGAATATTCGAAATGCATAGAATCATAATATTTGGCTGGTAAATGTCACAGATAGAGCCTGACAAAGTTTGCTATTGAAAATTACCTCAACCTACTTTAAAGGTCACAGGGGTCAAATATAGCAAACACTGTACACAGCTTCTTTTGAAGAAGTGAAAGGCATGGAGTGGTGATATTTAACAAGTAGCTTCCTTGGATAGAGCCCAACAAAGTTTGCGAATGGAAATGACCTTTACCTACTTTATCATATTGCTTTATCTTAATCTAATTTGATATAGAGTATCCTTGGCCCAACATGGTTCAATGTTGTAGAAACCATGCCTCCAACCCTAATAGGGACAGGAGAATGGGACCCAATAAGGTAAGGGTATTACTGAGATATGTACAGAGCCAATATTTGGAAATATTTGTAGTACAGTAAAATATTTATTTAATATTTTGCTTTGACTGCTTAAATATCCAGGTGTACAATACAGGCCCTCTGTGCCTCTTGTTTTTAGCCCATTGTTATAGGCCTCACATAAGTAAGCATGTTTGTAATCTGTTTTTATAGGCTTGAGACACAGACAGAATACACTAAGGCCGCGGCTGTAGCTCTTTTTAACCTGAGAATGGGCAAGTCTATACAGATCCTGAGTAAGACTGCTACAAAACAAGGTAAGGATGTGATAACACGTTGCTACAAAACAAGGTAAGGATGTGATAACACGTCTCTATACAGATCCTGAGTAAGACTGCTACGAAACAAGGTAAGGATGTGATAACACGTCTCTATACAGATCCTAAGTAAGACTGCTACGAAACAAGGTAAGGATGTGATAACACGTCTCTATACAGATCCTGAGTAAGACTGCAACGAAACAAGGTAAGGATGCGATAACACGTCTCTATACAGATCCTAAGTAAGACTGCTACGAAACAAGGTAAGGATGTGATAAAACGTCTCTATACAGATCCTGAGTAAGACTGCTACAAAACAAGGTAAGGATGTGATAAAACGTCTCTATACAGATCCTGAGTAGGACTGCTACGAAACAAGGTAAGGAAGTGATAACACATCTCTATACAGATCCTGAGTAAGACTGCTACGAAACAAGGTAAGGATGTGATAAAACATCTCTATACAGATCCTGAGTAGGACTGCTACGAAACAAGGTAAGGATGTGATAACACGTCTCTATATAGAACAACTTCTGTGTTATAACAGAAAATTATCTTTATGTATACTTCATTTTACATGCAAGCAATGATGATATTCCAATGGCTATTAAGGTGTGTGCTCTGTCACCAGACTTGGGACTAGAAAAGCATTTGTAAACTTTGCCATAAAATGGTAGAACACTATTATCTACATATATAGGTAAGCTTTATCTTATAAAAGGTAGTGTGTAATTAATATCTGCATGTAAACTTTGTCTGATTCTGGCTGCGTGTAAATATATGTATATAATGTATTTAGAGGAGAACTTCTTGCAAACAGATCGATTTTGACATTAATGAAGTGTAGAATTTTAAGTGTTTTTATTTCGTTTGCTTAAGGATGTATTATGTCTCTTTAGTTTGGTAACAATTAAAATATACCATGTGCAAAATTGATCTTATGTAACAGGTTATGAAAACCTGAGTGCAGTTGCCATGGCGATAGCCGGGTACCAAGAGGAGCAGCAGACAATGTGGCGCCGTACATGTGGGTCCCTGATCCAAACGGTCCACGACCCCTACCTCCGTGCAATGTTCTGTTTCCTCTCGAGTGATAAGGAGAACTATGATGAAATTCTGGTACAACTTTTGCTATATATATATTTTTATTTTATTACCGGAGGGCAGGATAATATACACTAGAATTGGTGTTGCTGAGTTAGATGTTGTGGCAACTATTTCAAAGCGTTCACTACTTTTTTGAACATTTATTTTGATGTATTTGAATAAACCTGCAAATTAATCACAGGCATAGGCTGCCAATATCTGTGTTTGAACTCCATCATTAAAGACAAGATTTTAAGAAGTCTACAGCTGTTTAGAGATTATAAATATTGATGGGTGTATTTTATATTGCTTATGGTATTCTTGTTTAGGGGTGCTATAAAAATAAAGAAGGGATTTACTGAAATATATATGAATCTCTCGAGACATTGTCATAGGAAAAGGGTGCTCAATTTAAATAAAAGCTGTTGTTGGAATGCTTTCGGACTGAATCATAATTATATGAATCACAAATTTAGGACTTCTGTCATACAGATGTACTGACCATAAATTATGAAATTTGAACGGATTCCTATCAGTACTTATAGCCTGTGTTTGGTTATTAGCATACATTTTGATGTATCTGTTAGAATGTGAAGTAATTTTCAAAGTTAAAACACCTAGCAGATACATGAAAATAAGCTTTTGACAAATATTGCGTTACAGCGATTTATTTAATTTCTGTATTGCGATACGATACATCCTGACTTCGTACAGTTAACACAGGAGTGATTTTTCTTCACCTTCTAACCGATATTGGGACCTAAGAGCAGTTCCTTAACTCCATGTCAAGACGGCGTGGTACATTGTACATGTATTTCTCTATATCTGGCAGATTTAGAGATATATCGTATGTGGTGTGCAATGTACCACAACATATATTGTGACAGGCCTTCTCAATTTTGTCATCAGTCTGTGTTTCAAGTGTTAATAAATAGGTCTAGGGCTGCAAATATATAGCCAATACCATACAGAGATATCTGATTATGAAAGTAGTTATAATGACACTGGCTGACCGCCCCTTTGGTTGTTTGTTGCAGGGTGACCACAACTGTATGCCGGTGGCTGACAGAATAGCTTTTGCCTGTATATACCTCTCTGACCAAAAGGTAAGTTTTCTTCAAATATTGACTGGATTGTTCTGTCAAAAAGGGCTTTGTAAATCCTGGTCAACCATAAATTTCAAACTTTAATATCTGAAAGCAAGTACTCTCAGTGGTATTTGTACTTCAGCTAGTAATGAAGGTACCATGTATAGAGGTTTTTTTACAGATGTTCATCATGGTCTTAAAACTGCTAGCATTCCTTGGGGGTGAAATTGGTGTAAAGGATCATGGGTAAAAAACAAATTTTGCCATTTCACACTGCCAGTAAAACACACAAAATAAAAAACTTCAACAAGGCTAACATACATATTGCTGTGCTTTCATTGTTAACTGAAATCTTAAAACATGTTGTTTGAAGTACAATCACTTAAAAACAGGTACCGTGGGTATTCCAGATTCATTGCTTGTAATACATGTGTACCTGTAATAAGGTGGAGACTGTTACTGTTAACATTGTTGTTTGTTTCTACAGTTAAAGGAGTACGTGGACAACTTGAGCAGTATGATGAAGGACGAGGGATGTTTGGACGGCTTACTTCTCACTGGTATGTAATTAATTAACATGCTATCTCCTATAAACACATGGAATATTACAATTAATTTATATTCTTATACTGGGTAAGATTTGTATTTGGGCTGGATAAAATTCACCTTCGATTTGTGTGGGTAAATTTGACTTTTTTGTGCTGGGTAAAAGTAGCGAATAGATGAGATTGAAGTAGATACAATCCTGTTTGTCCTCTGAACCTACTTGAGGACTTATATGGAGGTACTTTGTAGTTGTAATTCTATATATCATCTCTCCCTACCCCAGGGCTGACATTGGATGGCGTGGAACTACTACAGAATTATGTGGATAGGACCGGCGATATCCAGACTGCCGCCCTCGCTGCCGTCTTCACATTTCCTTGTGAGATGTCACACAACGAAAAGGTCATCACCTGGATAGAAAGGTCAGATATGTATACTACTCCCCGTGGATAGAAAGGTCTAATATGTATACTACTCCCTGTGGATAGAAAGGTCAGATATGTATACTACTCCCTGTGGATAGAAAGGTCAGATATGTGTACTTCTCCCCGTGGATAGAAAGGTCAGATATGTATACTACTCCCCGTGGATAGAAAGGTCTAATATGTATACTACTCCCCGTGGATAGAAAGGTCTAATATGTATACTACTCCCTGTGGATAGAAAGGTCAGATATGTATACTACTCCCTGTGGATAGAAAGGTCAGATATGTGTACTTCTCCCCGTGGATAGAAAGGTCAGATATGTATACTACTCCCCGTGGATAGAAAGGTCTAATATGTATACTACTCCCCGTGGATAGAAAGGTCTAATATGTATACTACTCCCTGTGGATAGAAAGGTCAGATATGTATACTACTCCCTGTGGATAGAAAGGTTAGATATGTATACTTCTCCCTGTGGATAGAAATGTAAGATATGTATACTGCTCTCTGTGGATAGAAAGGTCAAATATGTATACTTCTCCCTGTGGATAGAAAGGTCAGATATGTATACTACTCCCTGTGGATAGAAAGGTCAGATATGTATACTGCTTTCTGTTGATAGAAAGGTCAGATATGTATACTACTCCCTGGGTGTGGATAGAAAGGTCAGATATGTGTACTGCTCCCCGTGGATAGAAAGGTCTAATATGTATACTACTCCCTGTGGATAGAAAGGTAAGATATGTATACTGCTCTCTGTGGATAGAAAGGTCAGATATGTATACAACTCCCTGTGGATAGAAAGGTCAGATATGTATACTGCTCCCTGTGGATAGAAAGGTAAGATATGTATACTACTCCCTGTGGGTAGAAAGGTCAGATATGTATACTACTTCCTGTGGATAGAAAGGTCAGATATGTGCACTGCTCTCTGTGGATAGAAAGGTCAGATATGTATGCTACTCCCTGTGGATAGAAAGGTAAGATATGTATACTACTCCCTGTGGGTAGAAAGGTCAGATATGTATACTACTTCCTGTGGATAGAAAGGTCAGATATGTGTACTGCTCTCTGTGGATAGAAAGGTCAGATATGTATGCTACTCCCTGTGGATAGAAAGGTAAGATATGTATACTACTCCCTGTGGGTAGAAAGGTCAGATATGTATACTACTTCCTGTGGATAGAAAGGTCAGATATGTATACTACTCCCTGTGGATAGAAAGGTCAGATATGTGTACTGCTCTCTGTGGATAGAAAGGTCAGATATGTATACTGCTCCCTGTGGATGGAAAGGTCAGATATGTATACTACTTCCTGTGGATAGAAAGGTCAGATATGTGTACTGCTCCCTGTGGATAGAAAGGTCAGATATGTATACAACTCCCAAGGTCAGATATGTATACTTCTCCCTGTGGATAGAAAGGTAAGATATGTATACTACTCCCTGTGGATAGAAAGGTCAGATATGTATATTACTCCCTGTGGATGGAAAGGTCAGATATTAAAGTATCAAGGCCTTTGGAATTCCCCATTAATTCCCCATTAGAATTAGAACTTGTTCATGTATGCATTTTTAGGTCACCTGAGACAAAGTCTCAAGTGACCTATTGCGATCGCCTTTTGACCGGCGGCGTCGTCTTTGTGCGTCCGTAAACAATTTACATTTTCGACTTCTTCTCCAAAATCCCTGAACCAATTTCAATGAAATTTTGCAGAAACCTTCCATGGCCAAAGGTCAACTAAAATTGTGAATTATATGGTCCCCAGCCCCCAGGGGCCTGAGGGGCGGGGCCAAAAAGGGTAAAATTGACTAAAATTTCAAAAATCTTCTTCTCAAGATCCAGATATGGTAGAATCAAATTGTGAATTTCTTGACCCTGGGGTCTCACGTTTCCCCCTGGGGAGGGGGTAAACTTTACTATAGTTTATATAGGGAAATCACATTTTGGACCAACATTTGTTTAATTGCCATTGGAAGTAATTCAATTTGGGTAAGCATTATCAGTATTGGATAGCAGTTTGATGGTATGCACATATCAGCCCTGACTGACCCCCAGGGGCTGATGGGTGGGGCAAAAAAGGATTGAAATGACTGAAATTTCAAAATCTCTTGTATAATTTAGCAGTAGGCAGTTCCTCTAATAATAAGGTCAAATAATAAGTGCTAAGTTAAAGATATCCTGATAAAACTTGCAGTACATCTGCATCACCCACAGATGTACAGTGCACTTTTTAAACTGTTAAAGGAGAGACATAACTTTTTATTCACAAAAACACATCTTTAATGTCATGCATATATAACTATAATTTTGTTTTCTCAGAAATGCTTAAAATACTATTTCTTAATGTGTTCAATGGTTTGTGTATTGCAGCTATAGGGAACTTCTAGACCGGTGGAAACTCTGGCACCAAAGGTAAATAACATTGTTAAACTTATGGAGTCATCAATGTTAGTAATACCTGAAATCTACGAAGAAGATATTTAAAACCATGTTTACGAAATAGTAATAGCTGGGTCTACAACTAAAAAGAAACTTTATTCATTTACAACAATTCTAAAACAAATTACATAACTTATATTAATCACTCTTGTTGGACGGATGTTAGCTTGTAGGGGTGGGTCTTCATGTGGGAGGAAACTGGAGTATCAGGAGAAAACCCATGGTAATTGACCCCATACCTTTTCACATCTAATCGGGGAACCAAACCCTGGACGTTTTGGTGAAAAGTGAGTGTGTTATACACTGTGCCACCCAACCGACCTAACTATAAGTCGGCATTGTTCTTAGTTACTGGAAAGGGAAAGAACTAAGCTATTAGTCTTTTTCATAACACCAGTCTGATAGCATTTAAATTCTGTAATACCATGCTTTAGATATCTCCTCTAATCAAGGTTTTACATGGGAACCACTAGTACTACATGGGCAAAACAATTGTTTCTTTGGAAGTGTATACCCGAATGTTTAGATTTGTTTCGATAATGTATTTGACCGTTGTGCTTTTTTCTACGCTACAGAGCAGAATTTGACATCATACGTCACTCCAGTGATAGTCACAGCTCAATGCGACACAATCGGCCCCAGGCGTATGTTAGCTGTAACTTCTGTGGGAAGTCCATAGCCTGTAACACGCAGGCTCCTTTCCGTCTCATGTCACGCTCCATGATGTCCATGTCTGCCAACAAACCAAAGGTATATAACACACCTGTATTGTCTACTGTACAGACGGTTTCAAGATTTAAGCTATTTTTAAGTAGTTATGTGTATGTCTCAGAAGTCAAAATACCTATACCTGATACAAGTAACAAGTAACTGTCTTTTTAACAGATTTGTATGCATAACAATTTCCATTTTTTGAATATTNTAAAAAAAAATAAAAACTGGTTTGTCATCTGAATACAAGCTGTACACATTTTTGAAAAGGATATATTTTTCATATTTTTGCACATCATTTTTCACTCTCAGATAAGCTGTTGTCCAGGCTGTAGGAAGCCTCTCCCAAGGTGTGCAGTGTGTTTGACTAACTTAGGGACTCCCTCAGGATCCACACTGTGTCAACAGATAGAACATAAAGGTCAGTCACAGCTACAACATAAAAGTCGGTCTCACTACAACATAAAGGTCAGTCTCAGCTACAACATAAAGGTCAGTCTCGGCTACAACATAAAGGTCAGTCTCACCTACAACATCAAGGTCAGTCTCGACTACAACATAAATGTCAGTCTCAGCTACAATATAAAGGTCGATCTCACTACAACATAAAGGTCAGTCTCAGCTACAACATAAAGGTCAGTCTCGACTACAACATAAAGGTCAGTTTCGGCTACAACATTAAGGTCAGTCTCGGCTGCAACATTAAGGTCAGTCTCGACTACAGCATAAACGTCAGTCTCAGCTACAACATAAAGGTCAGTCTCAGCTACAACATAAAGGTCAGTCTCGACTACAACATAAAGGTCAGTCTCGGCTACAACATAAAGGTCAGTCTCGGCTACAACATAAAGGTCAGTCTCGACTACAGCATAAAGGTCAGTCTCGACTACAACATAAAAGTCAGTCTCACCTACAACATAAAGGTCAGTCTCAACTACAACATAAAGGTCAGTCTCGACTACAACATAAAGGTCAGTCTCGACTACAGCATAAAGGTCAGTCTCGATTACAGCATAAAGGTCAGTCTCAGCTACAACATTACAGTCAGCCTGAGCATAAATTTCTGTCTTTCTGTCTGCAACTTAAAGTTCAGTCTGACATCATAGAGGTCGGTCTCATAGAACTTGAATTTCATGTTCTCAAAATATGACATAGCAAGTAAAAAAAAATGGAGAAAAGCAACTCCTGAATCAAGTATAACTGTAAAGATACTGGTCCTGATTAGTGTTGGTCTGCGAGGCAGGATGTCCTCAGAGCACAGCTATTTGGTGACAGCTACATGGTGATGACAGAGTAGCATGCTAGGCCGGCCGTGGTCAGACCACAGCTATTTGGTGATTATATCAGTCCAAAACCAGTCCACACCAGTATCAATGTAGTTATGGAAACCTGGATTCACAAGTTGCTTCTTTCTTTTATCTACTTGCTTTGCTTTACTTAACCCTTTCACCACTGTAGACCATAATGGACTCGTCCATATCAATGCATGGACGAGTTTACTAAAGTTACATAGGGGTGAAAGGGTTAAATATGGCTAGACAATAAGAGTAGCCCAATAGTCTGAGACTAGTGAAATCTCCAGCTAAAAATCACTAGCCCTATAAACAAGTCAACTTGATATCGCTCATCTTGTTGAATAATATTGGGTTAGTGGAATTTGTACAAGGACTAGTAAAAATTGGAAACTACTACCCCAATTGACTAATGGTATTTAAAATTAGTTTCTAGCCCTGCTTTAAGAGGGTTTCTGTATATCATCAGGTATCCTCCTAAAACTTAGAAGATGCAGACTTTTTCTACACTTATTAGATGTTGGTTCTTCACTCCTGAAATATGGAAAATAACACATAGTACAATTTTGCATTTCTCATTACAACTTGTGTAATTTAACAGTTTTAAGTTGTTAAACATTTGTTTCAGACTTGGAGAACAAGTTGACCCCATTAGACGACTGGTTTACCTGGTGTCAAACTTGTCGCCATGGCGGCCATGCCTCACACATCACTTCTTGGTTCAAGGATCACCCACAATGCCCTGTAACAGGATGTGACTGTAAATGTGCAACTTTAGATCCTATTGGACGACTGAAAGCTACTTCACCACTAGTGCCTGCTGGGAAGGCTTGACCTTACATTGCTCTAAGAATTGATATCCAGAGTATTCGACAAGATGTGCAATACAAAGTTCCGTAAACTGTTCAATATGTCTGTTGATATCCTATATGTCTCTCTTCCGATTTAGGTCAGACGGCTATATATGGGTGTCATGGCCCAATATGGAAATTGTAGTGAACATGGCGGCATCTTTAGTAATACTTTATTTGGCCATGCAGCCATATATAGAAAGGATAATTGAGATTACATCACACGTGATCTGTCATGGCAGTCATTTCTAAAAAAAATCCAAGACGGACTTGACTAATTTTGTGAAAGAGTTTTTTTATTGGTAAGGATTAGTTTTACAACAATTATGCAATTTTAAACCTGTGTCATTTCATTTTAGTAATTTCCATGTGCGAAGTGTCAATATTTCCTTTACCAATTGATTATTTGAAAATACATGTACCCTGAAATGATTGTTCAATAGTTTTAGTTCCGTTATCAATAAGTTATGTACAACCAGCTGCGTTCTAATGAGTTCTGCAACGCGTATAACTTTGGGAGAGCTGAAACACATTTTTTTTCTTGCTGTTTTTTTTCCGCCTAATTAAGTGATTAAACAAAGCATACATACATGAGAATGTAAATCTGAATTGTCACATCAATCTTATTCAAACATTTTAAAGGGAAATAACTCTAAACACAAATCGACATGGTAGCATATGTATTTTAATTGTAAATTGACCAAAGAAATTTGCTGTTATGTATTATTTCTGACCATAGTCCTAGCAGATTACTTACTGGACCTGCTGACCATTTATCAACGTTTAGTTGACATCCTCAGTTGTTGTACCTTTATAACAGTTATACCTAATAACAGCTGTTATATACCTTTATAACAGCTGTTATACATTTATAACAGTTGTTTTACCTTATAACAGTTGTTGTACCTTTATAACAGTTGTTATTATATCTTTACAACAGCTGTTGTACCTTTATAACAGTTGTTATACCTTTATAACAGTTGTTATACCTTTATAACAGCTGTTATACCTTTATAACAGTTGTTATACCTTTATTACAGCTGTTATACCTTTATAACAGCTGTTGTACCTTTATTACAGTACAGTTGTTATACCTTTATAACAGTTGTTTTACCTTTATAACAGCTGTTATACCTTTATAACAGCTGTTATACCTTTATTACAGTTGTTATACCTTTATAACAGCTGTTGTACCTTTGTTACAGTTGTTATACCTTTATAACAGCTGTTATACCTTTATAACAGTTGTTATACCTTTATAACAGCTGTTATACCTTTATAACAGCTGTTATACCTTTATTACAGCTGTTATACCTTTATAACAGCTGTTATACCTTTATTACAGTTGTTATACCTTTATAACAGCTGTTGTACCTTTGTTACAGTTGTTATACCTTTATAACAGCTGTTATACCTTTATAACAGTTGTTATACCTTTATAACAGCTGTTATACCTTTATAACAGCTGTTATACCTTTATTACAGCTGTTATACCTTTATAACAGCTGTTATACCTTTATTACAGTTGTTATACCTTTATAACAGCTGTTGTACCTTTGTTACAGTTGTTATACCTTTATAACAGCTGTTATACCTTTATAACAGTTGTTATACCTTTATAACAGCTGTTATACCTTTATAACAGCTGTTATACCTTTATTACAGCTGATATACCTTTAGAACAGCTGTTATACATTTATAACAGTTGTTTTACCTTTATAACAGCTGTTATACCTTTATTACAGCTGATATACCTTTAGAACAGCTGTTATACCTTTATAACAGCTGTTTTACCTTTATAACAGCTGGTATACCTTTATAACAGTTGGTATACCTTTATAACAGTAGGTATACCTTTATAACAGTTGTTATACCTTTATAACAGTTGTTATACCTTTATAACAGTTGTTTTACCTCTATAACAGTTGTTATACATTTATAACAGTTGTTGTACCCTTATAACAGTTATACATTTATAATAGCTGCTATACCTTTATAACAGTTGTTATATCTTTATAACAGTTGTTATACCTTTATAAAATGCTCATTCCTATGGAAAATAATGCAACATTTCAACATGTTTTTGTTTTCAAATAATGGCATCATCAAATAGTTGAAGTTTCCTTTTCGGGCCTCATATTGAGTTTGCCAAATGTGACGTAATAAATGTTGTTACCTCGACCTCTTAGGTGCAGTCAGTAATGACTTACCGGTATGTAAAAAATATTCAGGATTTGTAAGAGCACCAACATGATATTTATGTAGCTAATAGATTTTAAAAGGTATTGCAGAGTATTTACGACAGGTTTTGTTTCGTGGGACCCTTCACCAAATACTTTTTGGTTTAACAATACATATTTTACCCTCAACCTTCATCAATAATATCACATAATAACCACTTGTAAAAATATGTATCTTTATGCGTAATGATCAAATCATTTTTTGATTTTTTTCTTCTTATCTATACTGATTATAAATGACATTTGGGTTGTTGTTGATGGCACACAGTGGGTACCTCAACAGGGACATGCAACATGAATCACCTTCCCTGTTATATAACAGATAAGATTTTATCTGTAAAATTCAAATACGTTATACAATGCTACAATCCTGTTCTCCCTATCTTTGTCAAACAAATAAGGGTGAATGAAGTTTTAATGTCCTGTATTAACAGCACAAAAATTGGTAAACCAAAATCAGAGACAGATGAGTTATGGTGTACATAACACACAGCCAGCTATTTGTCTGTGGCTGGAGTTTGTGTATGCCATCTTGGCCCTAATTTAGAGTTTAATATTCCATGTTTAAAAATTCCCAACCAAATATAGTACAAAAAATAAAGGTAATGCTAATCTCACCCACCACACCCACCACACCAAAGTGTGTAATGTTATATCATATTCCATACAGTAACTTTGTACCCTTTTATAACATCATTGTAAGTTTAACGATAGTTTTGAACAACCGGGCCCAGATCATCCGATTAATAAGTCTGTCATCACAAGCAGCTTTTCATATGATTTAAGTCGTAAACTCACCTCATTCAAGAAATATTTTTTACAGCTATGCAAAAGTTACACTTTAAACCCGTGTCATTTCATTTTCTTAATTTCCATGTGCGAAGTGTTAATATTTCCTTTAACAATGGATTATTTGAAAATACATGGACTTTTAAATGATTGGTCAAAGTTTTTAGTTTTGTTATCACAAAGTTATGTACAACCATCGTTCTAATGAGTCCTGCAACTCGTATTACTGTAGCAGTTAGGACAGGACACTTGTGTAGACCAGGTAGCTCAATGGGTTAGAGCGGAAATATTACCATGTGAAGTGACTCTCGTTGATTCCTTTTGTTTATTTCATCTTCATTATTTCTCATAGAAGTCCCACAAGGTATGGTTTTCTTTAATTTTCAGAAATGATTTATCAAAGCTATAGTCATGTCGAAAAACACAATCTCCATTACATATGGTAAAACCCCGTTGTAATGCCACCCGTTAAACCTCCAAACCTGCATACCGCCATTAATTTACTCAGAACCGATTTCCCCAACGTTAATGCACCCAGTTGTAACGCCAAACTTGCATTCCGCCATCATATTTCCAACACAAATGGTTAAAATCACACTAATTTGACCTCGTTAAATACCACCAATTTGAGTCAAGTACAGGTATATCCTGATGAAAGGAATGTTACGTACGTGTGTACATTGTATTGTTACACGTGACTGTCGACTGACCAGGTAATCAGCTGTATGTTTTGCATGCTCAATAATTTACATTAAATTACATTTTTGGAAAAACAACGTATTCTGAAGTAAATTATTATTTTTTTAAAGCTTAAGTTCAGTTGATGTGTGAACACTTGGGTTTAAAACTGTACACCTGATATACCGCCAAACTTGATATACTGCCAAAATCACAGAGGACAGAAGGTGTCGGTATAACAAGGTATAACGAGGTTTTACTGTAGTTCGATTTTATGGGGTACTACGGTATACATGAAAGTCCACATAGCAAATGTAAAGTTATTTCATAATTCTCCACATGCATGTATCATGTTTACAGAATCATTTAAAGTAAAACCGTCTGATATTGACCACTCCCAAGGCAGGTTAAATTTGTTAAATATTGACTGATAAGTGTGAGATGGAAAGGAAGTTTCATATTACAAAAGCTTTTGTTTAAGTTATTTTAGCGACTTACAGGTCTGTATGTATGCACAATGATATTTAATCACAATCATAATTGAAGTGCTTTATGTCCGAGGATTTTTAAGCAAATTCAAATCTACCTATTGCTATAAGTGTAATTGTGGGTAAAATGTGTCCAAATGCTAGGTGTGTGTGTGGGTGTAACAGCTGTGATATTGATTAATTATTTGTTGCTGTGTGATCAAGGCCAAATGTATTTGCTGTGTAATTTATGTGAATGTATAAACAGTGAATAATCTTTTGTGGTTGTTTTATTTTCTTGATACAATACATATACACCTATACCTTTCACATAAATACTCGCAGACAAAAATAAGGGTAAAAATAAATCAAATGTTTGTGAACTTCCAGCCAATATTTGCACAAGTTTTTAATAGATTTTTTAACAAATTACAAACATGGATGTATCATGACGATGTATAACATATATAACTCTTGGACCTGTACCCCACATGTCAGGAATACAGCAAGGGATCAACGGTCAAATCTTATAGATTCCTATATCGGGGCTATACCTTTTACAGGTTAAACATTTTCTTTTGAATACTGTATAACACGAAATATTCGTGGATACTTTCCTTCGTGGTTCGACGCCATTTAGATTGACGTTTCGTGGTACAAACTTTCGTGGATATCCTTTATTATCAAACAGTAGACACCTTATCATTCAAATTTGTTGTATTTATGTTCGTGGTTCCATAGCAACCATGAAAACCACGACTGTTTATACACAACGAACATTTCATGTTATACAGTATGAAACATCATATAATAACATAGTATCATCAAATATTTAACTAGGACTTCTGGTTTTAAAATTTCTTTGAAGGAAAAGTGGACAGATGTCACACCACAGCATAATAAGTTCACAAGAAATTTAAGGAGTGTTCAAAATTGCTTCTTTGAAAGAGGTACACATGTGTATGTACTCAATGAAAAGTAAAAATAATATCCTGTTAAGAAATAAGTTTATTTACAAAGTAGACACCTTATCATTCAAATTTGTTCCATAGCAACCAAGAAAACCACGAATGTTTATACACAACGAACATTTCATGTTATACAGTCTAGTATGAAACATCATATAATAAGACAGTATCATCATTATTTAACTAGGGACTTTGGTTCTAAAAGTGGACAGATGTCACACCACAGCATAATAAGTTCACAAGAACTTTAAGGGGTGTTCAAAATTGCTTCTTTGAAAGAGGTACATATGTGTACTCAATGAAAAGTAAAAATAATGTCCTGTTAAAAAATAAGTTTATTTACACAATAGTTACAAATGTAATGAAAAAACACTGCTCTTAAACTGTACAAACACATCATATCAAATTGTATCTGTTCTCTTTTTCACTGTTCCAACGAACTCTTTGTCCAGCAAATCACAAAGTGTGTTGATATTCAGTCCATAATAATTACTAGCACATGTTATTTTTCAAGATTTGTTTTACACATCTAATTATTGTAACTGGTACAAACGAGTGTTTTTTTGTGAAGCCATTCACAGAAGGACAATCTCTGTAGTGATGTGTCGGGCAGTTGATCTGATCACCTCGATGAAACAGTATCTATGTGGGTCCACCGGTCATACTTATTCTTGTACACCTACGATGTAGTGATGTGGTAATGTGTCAGGCAGTTGATCTGATCACCTCCATGAAACAGTATCTATGTTAGTCCACCGGTCATACTTATCCCTGTACACCTACGATGTAGTGATTAGAAAATCGGGCACTAAGTTCAACAGCATTGTTGTACAGCTTCATATCTGAAACAAACAGAATTTCAATCACAAATCATTCATGTTGAAAGCTTTGTTATAGTAACTTACATTTTTATAAGATAAATACCTAACGTAAGTGGTGATGCCTCAGAATTCCAATAAATTACTGCAAGTTTATGCAAATTTACATAGGCTAACTGATGAATAACGGCTTTGGCCAAATGAAACATAAACTTGTTCATGATATTCTCATACTTCACCAATAATATCATATTCTGATTTATAACAGTATATCCTGACCCTTTCACCCCTATGTAACTTTAGTCAACTCTTGCATGCTTTGATCTGGATGAGTCTATTATGGTCTACAATGGTTAAAGGGTTCATTTACATTGCACAGATCAAGTCATTTACATATTACGAGTGGCATTAGTAAACTATCCAGTTATCAAAAGGGGTCGGCGGAACTGAATATTCAAAAATATTTAGTCACTTCCAGTAGCTAGTTACCTGCATACATATGTAACAATAGGTAATAAATATATTATAGACATGAACAATTACCAAATGCGTCGGAGGTTTCCTGGGGGAAGGTGATGTAGTTTTGACAGGAAATGGCATTGTTAGACACAACCTGACCTTCGACCTCTGTCAGGCCAGCAACATATTCACTCAACTGAAAGAAAGAACAAACTTTAATAGTCAAAATAGTGGGGCAGGATGATAAATGTTGATGCCCGAGTCTGTGTTTGAAATTATATTTTCTCATGGAAACCCTTTTTTACAGGAAAGCGCATCATCAGTACTCGGAGTTGTGCTCACTTACATTGTAGGCTTTCTTCACTAATGGAATATGTAATTGAAGGCACAGAGCTGGGCATCTGATTGGTCTAAAGCGAAAAAACAACCTGACCGATCAGTAGGCGGACACCCGTCATTTGAAGATTACAGAGGCACAACGCAGTATATATATTGACACCTCTCTTCAAAGTTGGTCAATTTGACCATAGCATCGTCAAAGAATTCTTTTGAAAGTCATACATGTAGTTCTAGAAGTTTTTATTACCCTAAACTGAAGAACACTTTTGATGAACAGCAAAGGATCAAACTAGTCTTCTTGTATCATCAACAAGGTTATGCATACCAATCGCGATCCTTCAATTTATTTGTCACATATTCAGAGGTGCAGAGAGTGTAGATGAGCGAAGTGGTATATATATTGATAGTGCCCACTCTGATTTCTTTACTAACCCCCCAAATTTTGTTTAAAAAAAAAACACTTGAGAAAACAGCGTCACCATACGCCAAAAGGTAGATCTATATATAGAGGTTTAACACTTTTGACAAATGCCATTGGCATAATCAGACACATCCGATAAAAAATAACTGATCAGCGGCACCTTGTGTTGTTACTCCAACAATGTTAGAGGTTTAACACGGCGAGATACTGTTGACAGGCGACGCGTAACCTCTAACTGCCCGTAGCTGATTTTCCCCGATGCTGACGATCAAATTTTCACAGTTCGGATTTAGAAAAAGTATAGCGTGTTTACATACATTAAAATGTTCAACAGGGTCAAATAAATATTACTTTTCATATCCATTGCCATGATTAAATGAAAATAATTTCATGTCAAAGGCAGTGATTTCCCAGTTAATACAAAAGTGGATTGCATGCAATGTTAACAAGCGGAAAACAAACAAACTCGGTATCATTTCATTCCGTTTGAAATCCCCTCTTCCTTTTTGTATCAACCCAAGAAGCCATATATTGTAAAAGTAGGTCAGAGAAGTGATACATCGACATTGACATGAATTTTGAGTGTTCTATTTCGTAATATACTATATATTTGTGACTATGGCATACATATGGGACAACTATTATATAAACCATGAGTAGACATCGTTGTCATGAACTGTGAACCACTTAAGAGAGTTTTTCAAGCCGGATTTCGGGCGGAATCTGCATTAACCCTTATCCCGCCATTCACTCATGTGTATACACACCACTGCTGTGTATACAATTTGTGGTATACCTCCCACTGCCAAATAAACAACAGCTATATTAATCAAAATTAATTATCTGATTAAACCAACAATAACTTTTTATCTTTATAGAATCCAAGAAAATATATATTAAGTGTTTTGTTCAGGAAGACTTCTTCTTTTCATATCAAAAGTAATTTTGGATATCTCGCTTACCTTTCCCGAACTACAGGTTAAAAAGCTGAGTTTTGTGTGTATTTTGTATGTAATAAAGATGATTTACATCTAATAAACAGTTTATTTATTACCATTACCTGAAAAACAATTCCAAGTTTCATAATCAAAAGTACTTAGTATTCTGTCGTAAGAGTCGTCCGTATATTGACGTCAAAAAGAAGAGAGAGAAAAATGAATAGGGTCGCCGTCACCTGGAATATCTTTGTTCAAACCGGGCCGTCCCGTGAATGGGGCATTTTTGGAGGTACGCTGTGTTGTCGTCGTCTTCAGGAATGTCCACGTCTTTATATGATCAAAGTCAATATCTTGTACGATTTCTGCCTCACGTAGTAAATCTTCAGGTCCGAATCCCTAAAAGTCATTGTCAAATATATCGCTGATAATCTACAGTCGTTCGATTCGTCTTCTGTCAGTTTGTCGTCCGCCATTTTTCCGCGCTGTCAACAAAACCTTGAATCTATGCTCTCGCGGTCATGGTGGCTTAGTTTATAAATAAACTGTGGGTATCACGTAGTCAGCCAATGAAATTAAGGTATAAACGAATACGTCATCATTTCTATGTAAAGCTAGCAGTGATTTTCTCAACGCAGTTCCGTACTTAAAACGGCAATCCCAGAATCGACATATGCCGCGATCGGCAGTGGAAGGCATGTTTTGCGGAACGACATATGCCGCGCTTGGCAGTGGGAAACGGGTTTATAAAAACGACATATGCTGCACTTGGCGGGATAAGGGTTAAAGAATTAGTGCTTTGGAAATAAGCAATCGGCAAAATCATATCCGATATAAAAAAGACCGACCAGCGGAATACTTGTGTTATAGGAGTAAGTCCGAATTATTTTGACGTTTTATCATTTTATCATATCGGTCTGTCGTCGATTAACGTCATAACTCCGGCCCTCAATAATATGCGGGAAATATGCGACCCGCGTCCGGAGCGCACTTCAAACTGATATTTTAGAAACAAATCGTCACTTTCACACACATGTCGCACATGGATCGAAAGATCTATTCTTCTATCTAATCCAATATGGCCACCACGGCCGCCATTTTGAAAAACTATTTCAAACTTAAAGTCAAGTTCTGTTGGCCCGATTGAACTGAAACTTGATAGGAATGATCGACTCATGGTCTTAACAAAGTGTTGTTATTTTTCGGGTCAATCACAAATCCAATATGGCCGCCACGGCCGCCATTTTGAAAAACTATTTCAAACTTAAAGGCAAGTTCTGCTAGGCTGATTAAACTGAAACTTTGTAGGAATGATCGACTCATGGTCCTGACAAAGTGTTGTTATTTTTCGGGTCGATCAGAAATACAATTTGGATGCCATGGCCACTATTTTGAAAATACCTATTTCATACTTAATTATTTCCTCTTCTTTATCATTTCTGTCCACAGGCCACACCATTTACTCATAAAACATCAAATTCCTTTGATCTGTTGGCAATTTATGGAAATTTATGCCAAATTAGTCAATATCGGATCCTTTTCACTATTCTCAACTAGTATATATATAGTTGACAACAAATGCAGGACAGACATCTCCCTGCAGGGTACAGTATAAACTTTCTATTATCTTTCTTTTAATGGAAAGCATTTATCATTTATTTATAACAAAAGAACAAAAGCCTTGTTTCGACATACATGATTAAAGATGATGACAAACTGTACTTGATAAGTTTTGAATGGTGAGGCTATTTAACTGATTTTTATTTTCAATTTTCCATGTAGAAGAAAAGTGAGTAAATTCCACTTTAACAGTTTTTATGGCCATTCAGCAGGGAGTTGGGCTAGCTTTTTACTCACCGGTTCCTGCGTGTTGACCCGTATATCTTGACCATCACTTGTTGTCAGTGTGAATGCCTGTCCGTTTTGGTCAACCTAATAAATTATACAATGTACATGTATCATAATTGTAGCGTAACTGGACTGGGTCAATCGTGGAATTGATTATATATTTATCCAAATCTTATTATCACCAACAGTTTCTGCCAGTAGAGTCCTCCGTTTTGAATCGTTCAAAATTTCACACCTGAGGGAACACCATATTCGTAGGTGACTTTAATATCAACAAGTCGTACTGATCTGGACAGAAAACGATTTTTTTATCCTTATTTTGAAGAAATAAGAGCAGATTTGTATCAATAAATAATCCATTAATTGATATGGTTGATGCACTTTATCTATACTTTCACTTTCTAGTATAAAAATCAGAAACTTTTTATTTCACTTTTATACACACTTTTTTTTATGATAAACAACTCTTTGTTAACCAGTTTTACATGTGTCCATATGACGTTCTTATTCATCAAAAGTTCAGACGCTTCAACCGTCATGGAAAATATACAAACTTTTCGATACTCGACTGTTTCGGTACCAAGCACATGAACTTGTTGGTTGAGGGGGGTCAGGTGAGAAAATCAGAATATTGCCGATTATTGGGATCCGCGACGTACTGCTACGTATCTAACTATAGTACAGGTTAGAATCCTAACAAACTTACATCTTTGGCCATCCCTAATACGCACACATTCCGTCCTTGAAAAGATGGAAGCATGGAACCATTTACGCGAGTCTTTGAAAAGTCAGCCATGGTGGAACAAAAGCTGCGATGTGTTTGTCACTTTTGCAGGGTGGATTTCGCGGGATTTTGTAAGGAATCTCTGTCGTACATGCGATTGAATTCAACTGTTCGACTGTGTTATCAAAGGTCGTACGTGACCGAGATTAATATATATATATATAAGTTTAGAGTCGGTGACGTCACTTGCTCTTTAATGTTTATATTTATAAATAATTATTTGTCGTGTAACGTTAAAAATGTGTATATGATAATTAATGTGATTACATTGAAAAATAAATAATATTAAAGATTCAGTATTTTGTGACATACTTTTTTTATTCGATGGACAACCGGATTGCATACACATGTTGGTAGGTACCGCCCTTGTATTATACAACACCAATGAACTTCCGGTGTAAAATGAAAGTAGAAGTTATTTTTAGCTATGTATGCGTCACTTCGCAGTTTGACGTCACTAAACATAACAGGGTGGTAATCTTGACTGGCCATTGAATCATCATTTTAGTTTAATGTGATATAGCTCGTCATCATAGAATATTATAAAACGCTATTCACCGTTCATGTGAGAGCTGATAGATCTTTAAAGAGCCAGAGATTGTGGGTTGAATCAGTTCTATGAAATGGTTAGTGACAACATATTGTGTTGGATTGGATACATTTTTTACATGTTACTCAGGTAGACAATATATAATAGACATTGGTCGTTTTCATTCACAGAGTTAAATGTTCAACTTCAGGAAATCGAGACAGAGTGACTTATTGTTTTCAATCAGACTGTCAGATCTGCACTGTCCAGTGCCAACAAAAATCTATATTCATATTTTCTCATGGTCACCTGAAGTTGGAGATTGAAAAATACTAAATATGACATACCCCATCTTAAGAATAATTAAAATAATGCCAACATGATCTAAGAAAAGGGTTATGACCTCAGACCTGGGCTCAGATGATGTCATATTACTATCCTGTAACATACAATGGCTGGCTATTATTCTTTTATCAGGTATGATTATGCTATCTGTGATGCTTATCAAAAAAGTTCACTGTGTTTGACCTCTAACAACGTTGGAGTGATGAGTTACCTATTGATTGACAGCACATTGGCTACTTGTTAGTGTCTCGCAGGAGGGGTCGACCTAGTACTTATATCATACTTGGCCACCTAAAATCAGGTCCTAATATTTTGTGCCAAATTTTATAACAGTGTATGCATGTATAACATTTCTCTGTGTAATAATAACTTGATATATATGTTAGGCCTTTCGTCATAAAGTCAATGTATAATTTTTCTTTTTCAGATGACGATATAATTAGTACAGAGATGAAACAGAAGCAGAACAGATTTTAAGTGTGCCTAGATCATGCAGGTTTCTATAAACATTTTAAGTTATGAATCAGGCTCAAGAAATGTTCTCTTCTCTAATCAGACCACTTACTAATAGGATAAACAACGCAGGGAGGCGTGTCACAAATAACCCCCCTGAGAGGGGACAAACACAAGACAATGAAGAAGATGGTTTTTTGGTGGTTGGTCAGAGCAGAAGTGAAAGAACAACTGTGAGAAATTGTGATTTCACTGGAAATATAAATTCTCCACCAGACTACCATAGTCTGATACAGGTAAATAAATGCATTATGTTTAATTGTATATTTTGTAACAGACCATGCCAACATGTTTTTTATACATCAATTAGTTTTATATGTTATTACTACACTTACCTCTTATGAAATTAGAAATGTTTAAATTTAACCTTGAACAATCATTAAGTCAAAGTACCCTCCTTTGTTTTTATTAAGTTGCAAATACAACAAAAGTATATTCCCACAGTCATGAGTATTGAAATGTGAAAGCATATTTAGATGTAAGATAATGCTAGAGATTTCTTTTAAACAGACAAAGCATCAATTCACAAACTTTAAACTGAACAGTGTTGACTATCGGTAACTCAACACCCACAAAATTTCACACCACACCTAATTTACTCACTTTCGAGACGTAATTTCTTTTTCATTCTTTCTTTTCTTCAGAATCAGGTTACTACAGACAGCAGTGAAAACCTTCCGTCCTACACCCAATACTGTCGTTCGCTGTCCACGTCCTCCAGCATGAGCATGGAAACATCTCAGTGCACAAACTTCAATCAAAATGCCGCAAATGGCAATTACATGGGAGACCAGGACGACATGCTCGGCCACAATACCGCCGTTTCCGACGTCCCCTTTGTGCTGAATCCTCAAATCCAAACCATGGTTGACATTACACATGGCAATGTGCCTTGCTTACATCAACATCCGATTAACCTGTCCAAGTATTCGTATGACTTCAGTCTGGAGAACTCTATGATTAGTGACACAGACAAGTTTTACTAGATGTACCTGTGATAGATCATTCTGACCGTAAATTACCATACCGGTAGTTTTTGATTGGCTGTTATAAAAAATCAATCAAACAAAGGTATACTGTAAAATCATACATTTTCATGGGACATTTAATTTGATCATTTCGTGGATAATAAAAATCCACGAAATTAAATCCCTACGAAAAAATAAATTTGGTATGTTATAGATAGGGGAAAATTAGAAATCAGTGAAATATAATGTCCTTGAAACAGGTGAGTATATGAAAACCACGAAATTTTTACCCCACGAAAATAAATGATTTTACAGTACATATGTTGGCCAGTTTCCCAAGCAAATGAATATACTTTTTAAAACATCAATATGTAGATTGATTGTTTCTCCAGTTAACCCTTTCACCACTGTAGACCATAATGGACTCATCCATATCAATGCATGGTAGAATCTACTAAAGTTACATAGGGGTGAAAGGGTTAAATTAACAAATTCATTAATTGTTTATGATTATTTATAACATGCATAATATGGTACAACATACATTTTTGTTCGAAATCTGACTAAATAGTGTTGCCCAGTCAAATATTCGCCCATTTCCGATAAAGTCCATGTTAGTGTAAATATGCCCTTCACATGTAGTTACTATATACTGCATGTTGCTTGCTAACATTTGTTGTCATGATAGATTGGGGAGGGCAAAAAAAGGCGAAAGTAAAACTGTGGTGAAAATTTCCTGGTTTATAAGTTGACAATGGTCACAGAAATCGTATATATATGTTCAGAACATTTGCAATACCTCTTCTGTGATGTGAAAGATAAATTTATTTTAATAATAATTAATAATAATTCGAGGTTCTTATATACCGCTTTATCACAATCTAGTTTGTAGGTCTTCTGAAAGTGGTTCATAAATTATTATCCATGGTTATAGGGCCTTTGCAACCAGCGAATATCATTCTCAACACCCTGGGGAGCATACAACCAGTGCTTCCATTTCGGCACTCACACCTGGCATTGTACAATTCTAGCACTACCCAACCACATACTCATTTACAGCTGAGTAGACTGGAACAAGCGGCGGAAGGTATCTTGCTCAAAGATACAACACAGTGCCGTGACGTGAACTATGCATGCTACAAGCTGTGTCTGTGAAGGGGCGTTATTTTACCCACATACTATTTTATCATTAACATACACTGTACAGGATGTCTAATTGTTTTACAAGGTCTTTACTTTCATAGACTGGCTACCAGCCCCTTAGGTTATATGAAGAATTTCTCTGCTGCATTTTACTACTAGCTTATCTCCCCCTAGAATCAGACATCCAAGTGATCAAATTTTTTGAGTTAAACTTTTTTCTTAATAATTCAATATTCTAGAGACGGGGGCCAGTCTATTGCTTTCACAACAACGACTTTTTGGCAAAACATACACACCATGGTCAAATCAGCAAATATAGACAAAGAAAATATGCGTGTGTTGTGTGTATGAATGGTGTTATCACGTACTGAATATATTAGTTGCTGTTTGGTGTACTTGGTGATAGGTTTACATAAATGTCTGTGACACTTGTACCTATTTCCCTTTGTCTTCTCTGTTCATTGTATATAATAACATGCTTGAACTGACATAAAAGAAAGTTTAAACTAAAATGACATTTGCCAAAACAAAGATTTTCAACTGTAATTGGAAACACTCCAAAGAGAAACAAGGTTATAAAAAAAAAAGTGAAAAGTTGTGATGCAAAAGTTGATTTGCTAATATGACAATGTTAGTTTTATATCACATTGAGGTATACCTGGTACAACTACCTGTGTTTTATATCCCTACTTATAACCCTATATTTTATTTTTTATATTTTATTTTAAATTGATTTGTCCGAACAGGTTAATCTTCCAAAACTTTGATCTTGATAAAAGTTATCACTAATGGGCTACCTATATGGAGCAGGCCCAGCATATTGACTTTCTCCACTAGCCTCACTGTCACAAAACATTTCTATTTTAAGAATCTATATATATATCATTTTAAGAAATATGCTTTCCTTATTGATAAATAAAAAAAGGTAATTATGTAAAAACTTTGATAAACTGTCCTTTTTTGCAAGAATTAACCACAATAAATCGCCTTACACTACTTTGGTGTCCAATTAATACAATCAATACAATTTTTGAAAAATTTACAGATTTGCTTTACCGGGTAATCAGGTGTTATCAGCCTTTTGCCACTTGGAAAACATCCCAGGATTGTGTGTGCATGATGTGTATTCTGTTCTGTTTTGCAATGAGACTGTGCTTCCAATTTTTTAGTGCTAATTCGCTTGATTAAGTCAAATACTTCAAGCAAAAAACACTGACTCTGCAACACCCACCCAGACCATTTAATGGCGGTCTGTGTGGAAGGACAGAATTTTATACCACTTTGCCAAATCTGCTCAAATTTATTCATTGAAATCTTTTCAATATTCACACTAAATATTTCTTACAATTTGAAAAGAAATGTGAAAATTCCCATAGATAGTTCCGTTGAGGTGGTCAATATATAAAATATCTATAACATATCTGTTTAACAGTGTGGTTACAGTGACTGCTGATAATGAAGCCATTTGCTGAATTTTTTGCTAACATTAACTCATACTTCGTAATGAACTATTCCACCCTTTGAATTGGAAGGATTCAAATGTGTCTTCAGGGGTGAATGAGTTAAATAAGGTATCTGATACCCAATGGAGATGAATATCGAATTAATGCTTTTTGTTTTAACTTACTGATGATCTTATCATTAATGATATTAAACGTTTCAAATTAGAAATTATGTCCTTTGTTTTGTGATTTATTTTGACTCAACAAAATTTGGAAAATAATTAAGAAGTTTAAATATTAATACAGTATAATGTTAAAAAAGTATATTTAACAGGAAAGTGAAAAGATTTTTTTCAAATGTATACATACATATGTACATACTAAAAGGACTATGAAGGAAAAAGTCTTTCTTTATGTAGCAGAACTGGACCAGGTCAATGGTTGGTGACCTTGTATCTCAATTGGTAGAGCGTCCGTCTAGAGTTCGGAGGGTCTCGGGTTCAAAACCTTGTCTGGCCAATACATTTCTCTTTCTCCTGTTACAGAATTGGCAAGACTTCTTAACCCTTTTTCTAACACTGGGTGAGTGTTTGACATGGGGATACACAAATCTGGGTTGCTAAGTTGCTAATATATGCTTAAAGATACATTTTACACTAAAAGTGGTGTCTGTAGGGCCTAAGGCTTAAAATGAAGGGAGGAATGTAGCAGAATTTGACTGGGTCATGTGTGGGCAACCAGGTAGCCCAATTGGTAGAGCTTCCATTTAAGAGTTTTTAGGGTCCCAGGTTCAAACCTAGTATGGCCATTGATTACTCTCTCCTGTTACAATTACACCAAATTAATAACAAAAGTTAAGAGGTTAGTAACAGACACTTTTTCTGTTTGTTTTTCACCTGATTGGATATTTTCCTGAATGTTCTATGACACCGATCTGTATCATGAAGATCAAGGTCACAACAATTAACTCAATTCACCCCTGAAGACACATTTGAACTCTTCCAATTCAAAGGTTGGAATAGTTCATTATGAAATTTCGGGGGTGAATGAGTTAAGAGACTGCTTGTCTGGACCACTGCTCTGCTGAATATTAATATTATTAAGTGTCTTAAAAAAGATTGTTATGATAAAACAGTACCACATATAACTCACAGGTCTGTGCCCTCAGAGTCAAATTCACAGCAAGAGGACAAAGGTCAGATTGCTGCAGTGCTAGTCCAAACGGAAGGTACCTATCTCGTGAAGCTTCCATAGACGGTAGTAAGATAACGAAACGAAGGCCACACATGTCTGTTACCGCAATATCAAGGTTAGGGTCACATCAATGGATCAACCATGTTTGTGGAAGCAGATCTAAACTCTCTGAACAAGACGTGGTCACCACTTCTAACTCGGCAAAGGGGTTTGGTGACAAGCATTCACTGTTGAGGACACCACGTAAAAGATGTGGATTAATTAGGTTGCCTTACAACCGACAGCTGTAGGGAATTTCCCTTTAGCTCAGCTGGAGAGTCGAGGGTTGCGGGTTCGAGGCCCAGCGACGTCCTTTTACAAATTGGTGCCGTTGACCCTCCCTGTTCAAGGTAGGAGAACCCTTGGCGGGGAGTCAAAGAACCTGGGTTGGTGTTTGAAAAAAGGGGGAATAGTGTAAAAGATATGGATTAATTAGGTTGCCTTGCAAGCGTCGGCTGTAGGGAATTTCCCTTTAGCTAAGCGTTAGAGCATCGGGCTGGAGATCTAGAGCCAAGGGTCGCGGTTTCGAGCCCCAGCGACGGCACTATCTTTATCACTTTTCTCGTTCTACTACAACCACTTTATGTGGATTGTGCAGGTGTGTCGTTGTTGACTTAGAAAGTGTGACGTCATACCCGAGTCTCCGCTAGGGGACCTGGCCCCAAGGATTGCGATGAATAATTCTTCATTGGCTCTGAAGACTTGATTTCTTTTGTTTTTGAAGAATGTAGATATTCTAGTGAAGACTTGAGTCTACCACTAGGTGGATGGAAGTTGATCCACAGGTACTAGCCTCGTCTGTCAATACACCTATAATATATATATAATATATATGTTATAACGTCACGCTACCACAATTGGTACAATTTTGAGGGTTTTTTAGTCATATTTAAAAATTCAGATCTTGTATCTGGAACGTTTCTTGATTCCTGACAAAGACTACCTATGGTGGTTCATTTTCAAGAAAAGATGTATATCTAGGTAATTTATCTTTGAAAATAGAACGCTAAACTCGGAGTGAGATTTCGTCCGTTTTTCGTCCGTAAATAGTACCCATATTGGTACACCATATCACAGACTATCGAAACTGTTTTTATTTCTACAAGTTGATGTGCCGATTACAACAAAATATATTGCTTTTATAGATACCATACTGAACTATATTTGTATATATTCACTTTTATATTATCCGAATGTAAGGACCAGAAATCAACATTTAAACATGCTTATATTTAACCCCTTGAAAATCCTCCAAAATTTCGTCGACGTACGTCGTTTTTACTTGTTTTCTGATATGTTTACTTTGAAGTCATCGTGTACTCTTAAAATGTTCCTGAAAACAAAACTATTCGGCAGAAATGCTGATAAATATCTATTTTGTTATACTGTCAAAGAAAAATGCTGAAATTTAATTTTAAAGTACTATTCGAACAATTGTCTGACCGTGTACCAATTGTGGTAGCGTGACGTTAGGTGTATTGACAGACGAGGCTTGTACCTGTGGTTGCTCCAGAGTACTACATCAGACTAACAGGTCTTGAAAGAAAGGTACTGCCTCTTCCCTCTAGCCCTCATTCATTCATTACTAAACGGCATTGACGATTCCACAAAAATCGTAAAATCTCCCTCGATTACAGAACTGGACTGCGGAGGTTTATTTGAGGTCAGCTGACTCATTTCCTACCAGAGTGTGCGAACATATCATCGAGGATAGTATTGGGCGCTATTATAGCCGATGGTTCACTGGCAATGTCTCATAATTACCCACACATCAGTGAAAATTATCATCATCCATGCTCTACACATACATTTTTTCTTGGAAAGCAGTGAAAGATTTTTTAAACGCACCGTGGATAGAAGAGATTAACAGATGGATGCTTCTAAAATACATACAAAGCTAAGCCCATAATCGACCTCAAATACGTTCAACAGTTACGTCATTTCATTATCATTTGCTTCAGAATTGAATTTCAACAGATTAGGAGCTGGAATTTGGTCGTACAATAAGGGCACACCCCTTCCAGGAGAAGTCTAGGGTTCTTTTTGCGACCATGGGAAACAATTTTCGAAAGAATTAATCTGGGTCTGTCGTTGTTTACTTCGTCAATTTTGTGAAAATCAAGTGTTCTCCTTGATATTGGACAACATTTAACACGGTTGATTCTTGAAACTTTGGTATCCTCAACTTTCAACTCTCTGGCGGATCTCATGCCTCGATCTCCACCGATTCCACGTCAGTCCTTCAGGCTAGGTTAATTTGTCTTGCTGTTGTGGCGTATCTGGAAAACCTTAGGGAAGGAGCCGTATGTACTTTACTCCCTTGCTTTGGAATGTTATTGCAATATCAGGACCAGGTCGTTAAATCACCTTCATGTTTTGTGTAGACATTTTTTCAATCATAAAGCCCAGTTCTCTCAGAATAAACCTTGGATATCCCCGTGTTCAAGACAATTCATAGGACTTGGACAGATTCTCGTTGTTTTGTTGCAACTTCCTTGAAATTTCGCCCATTGGTCTTTATGTTTCCAATGTCAAACGAGATGTCTGGCGTTGTTTACTCTCTCTAGTTTAGAGTTCTGTTCATGAAGGCGTTCCATCCTTTTTGAGGGCACAGTGATCATTTCTTCCTACATGGCCGGGAACTGTTTGCTCGGACTCCTGGAACTGCTGGTCGTTGTGTAATAGTGGCAAATATCCTTAGTCAGTCAAACTTTATATAACATGAACGACGACGGCATCCGCCTTCACAGGTGGGTATTTTCTTTGGATGGCTCGCTAAAGCAGGCTCTTTGCATGAGATGGCTCGCTAAAGCAGGCTCTTTGCATGAGATTGCTCGATATTATCTTCTTTTCTGTTGTCCAGATGGATAACCTGTTCTTGGTATCAGAAGGTAAGCGAACATTCACGAGGCTTATATTTGCTTAAACATGGTACATATTGTCTTTGAGATGAACAAATATGTTACGTGACTAATGCTATGTGATAAACAGATGTTTTCTTGTATATCCCTATTAAAACATTGAGACAATCCCCCTTTTCTGGACACTTATTTATAAGTGTTCCTTTTCTGAAGAAGGACCTACAGTTTAACGTCTTGTTCGCAGTGTAATCCTGGCACTTAGTGAATCCTCGATTGGCGTTTGTTACTTATCAGACATCTGGCTGTGAACAGGCAAAGTATAATGCGTTCCGTGGCTTTTCTGATTCTCCGGTCTGTCAAGGAAATATCTACTTGTTGCATGTCTGTATTTTATGTTCCAATCCATTTGTTTTGTTGAGCAAAGGATGTTTCCTCTTACTCAATGACAAGTCTGTTCCTGGCTTACTTCATTGGCCTAAAACAGCGCGGTTTCCTTCTTTGTCATTTTAATGTCTTTGTCTAACGTCCCTCGAGATTGAAATCCTGTATCAGCCTATATCAGATGCTTACTAAGATACCTCAATCTTTACATAAGTCTCACGATAATCGTAAGGAATTCGATTTTTCCCTTTCTTGACAGTAACATCCCTGTCCTTCACCTACAATGTTCATATGTCGCAATTGAACTCAATGGTTTGCTCCGAATATATCACTATTTCCGTGATAGATGTCGACTGCTGACGGACATACTAACAACACAGGATTTTGATAAATGTAAGTTGATGAAGATAATGTGTATTTTTAAGGTTGCCTTTGTGATTTCATTTGAAGAAAAAATGTATTCTCTTATGCGATATAAAAGTCGACTTTTTATTATTCTCATTATCTTGTCTTGTTGTTTGTTGTCACCACCCAGGTTTTTTGCCTCTAGGACATTGCTGGCATTCTCTCTTGTTTTCTTAAACCTGATTAAAACGTTTCTTTCGATTTTTCAAACGAGAGCAGATTGACTTTTCAATTTAAGCTAATTCTAAGTTGATCCGTCACCCTATCAGGTTGTCATACAAAGGAATCAATTTAGCATATTTGAATTTTAATCGTGCCAATGCCAGCGAGGCTCTTTTCTTAACGTGACATTCTAATAAGATGTTATGTCTGCGATCTGGTGCTTCCCAGTATCTTTCTCCAGAGTCTGTAAAAATGGTAGTTTCTACTCCTGCTTAACGCTCAGCAATTTAGGAGTGGGCCGACTGGTTCGCCCGTTGTCAGTTTAATGTGACCGGGTGGGGTGTCCTGCTGGGTGTCTTCGGCAGTATGTTTCAGTGAGGTAGCACCATAAAGTCGGCATCAGTTCCGCGCTATCACAAGGAAACAAACACGAACATATCACAGCCTCCCAAAACGCACACACATACACTACACGGATGCATTTTGCACACAAGGGAGGCCGTCCTGAAATGACCATAGCTGTTGATAGGACGTTAGACAATACTAAACCAAACCAATCCGGGTACGTGTCCTGCAGCCTAACTTCGATTCTCTATGAAGGACACCTTTAGGAATGTTCCTAACATTTCCATTTCCACTGTTTTATTTGGTGCAACATTTCTACAGTTAGTATTGTACAGTGACATGTCAATTATAAATGTTAACTAAATATTTTTCTTTGTAAAATATTCACTAGCTCATTCTGTATATCGTATTTCGATCCCTCCTTTTCCTGAGATTGGTGATACCTTTTCGGCCTCATGAGAGCTTACTCTGGACACATAATACATTGCCGCTGTTTGCCAACTGCTATCAATGTTACTAATTATGCTGAACACCACAGTCATAATCAAGAGAGATCTGATAACTCGTTACGGTTACTCGGGTGGGCAGGCAAAAATGTAACTATCGGTGATGATATTGCAAATAAATTACCGGTCGTGTTTCCAAGTAAAGTTTTGAGCATATCTGTGATCATAGCATTGGACAGTGTTGAAATAAAATATATGACCAAGTGTAATAGAGTTATATTGCTGGCTGTCAGTGCGCCGGTGCTGGCCATATAATTAATTGTCTTATGTCAGATAAGGCTTAGTATATGACCTGTCGGGGTCAGGGGATGCTGAACTGTATTCCATGTCTATTTGCACCTGATATTGATATAATATGATATTTCACTGTATCTATGTCATTTGCCAATCCCAGATCAGGCCTTTGAGCTAGACACACGTCTCTGTTAACCCTTGAGGACTAAAACAACATTAAACACAACGATTGGTGTTTATTATTTGTATCCGAGAGACTTGGAGGGTAACAGACAGGACAAACATGCATGACTGGCACAGTCATGTTCCTGAAACATATTGCAAATTGTATCGGAAGTGTTTGGAAGGAAACATCCGGGATCTTACATAAGTCGTTACACTGAGCACAAATTGTCTTTATATTTGATCAACCGTGTTTATTAAATAAATGTAAAGCTAAGTTTGCTACAGACCTATCCTTCATGAGACGTGACCAGAAGTGTGTGTCTGAACAGGTGTGCCACTATTACACATGGCGCAGAGTAATGTAACACAACTTGGGTAGAACTCTCGTTCTTTAACACGAGATCTGGTAGAGGTTCCTGGTCTGATAAACATACAATCACACGTATATGATGCCAGGTTCTTTCCTTTTCATCTACTTTACAAGCATATACATGTTATACTGTATTACAATACGAATACAATAATCAACTGCACAACTTACACATACGTAATATCTATATGGGTGTTTATCAATACTTGTTCATAAAAGCTTCCCGTCTTTTGTTTTGGACATTTAAAGGTCCAAAAGATCTTTTGCATTTTTTTCCACTCAGCAAATTGCACAGGTTCTTAAGGTATGTCCTTTTGTGTATGAAATATCCATTTACACACGTTAAACCATTAATATCTAATGCACAGGAAAAATCAATAAACACGTGACTACCCGTATTACAGTAAGAACTAGGATAAAATGTTATAGAATATATGGATCCTCAGGCCTTTTTGTTAATATGACTTTGATCCGAGACAAAATATCATCTATATGTTAATAAAACCACTTCCTTCGACAAATATGTATCCAAAAGGTTGGAGGAGAGATGAAACAAACACAGTTAATATTTTAACGATGTTTAATCAATGAACATACCAAGAAAGAATTTTGAGGAGAGAGAAAACACACTGAGTTAATATTTTGACGATATCTAATCAATCAAGATGTCCTGAACAAGATGTGGTGCACCTTGTTTACATTGAATCGTTCCAGGATAATAAAAAATACTGCAACTCATTCTATATCACGAGTCTTCCCTCATTTATAATGTGTAAACATTCATTTTTATTCCTTTGATCATGGAATATCGTTTGTCCGCTTCAAAAGAGAAAATAGTTCAATAATGGGACAATGTTCAAAAAACACATATAGCCACAAACAGTTTAAATAGATTACGTCAAGGGCGACCACATCAAAGACATGTACTGATTCCTGATAGGATTTGTATGGACAATTGTCTCACTGGCCAGGCCTACATGTCGTAGTAGTGAAATCGAACTGCAACTTCTTTGGGATGACTACGTTTCGAATCATCACATGTCACCGAGTAAAATCATCAACAAAGTTCCATTTCCTTTTCGATACCACGAGTCTACTTTAAAATGGCAAAAACGTGTGTAACGATCCAATCAGCTGACATCTATCCATTTCTTATTATTATTTTCTAATCTACTTATTGAGCAACAAGCGTTGGTTCAGAATTAACCCTTACAGTTGAGTATTAACAGCACATGTGCAGCTGACGCAAGTATAGACACTTAAAGTTTCACTAAACCAGAGCTCTTATCTCAAAGAAAATCAAATAGGGACACAAAATAAACTAATATTGCGACATTTCGAATGTCACACTGTCAAGGTGACATATGTTTGATTGAAATTCGTTATTAAATGTACCCCCATATACTAATGGTGTTATCACATGCCGTTCAGATGCTGAAGTAGAATATATTGTTCGTCGCAATGGTCCTAACTACTATCGAACTTGTACACTTCAAATGCTACATCCTCTTTTTGTGATGTGACCAGCAGCTCGTGTCTGTGCGGGTGCACCACTATGGCGCAGGGCTTGGCGATGCCGTTTAGTCTCTGCATAATTACTCTGGTTCTTGACCCCTCCCACGAAATCTGGTGGATGTTCCCGGTCTCGTACACACACACGTATATGTTGCCATCTTTATCTAGACCGATTCCACGTGGTTCCCGCAGGCCCCGACATGCGTAACGGAAGGCCTCGGTTCCATCCTGCGCCCGACAAACAATGGCGTTACCGTCCCGGTGACAAAACGTCCGCTGTGAGTTTGAAGCCGCTACGTAAGCACAGTCCCCAGTTTTCGGGATCGACTTGAGTTCCCTGCCCTCAATAGAAAGAAGTTTCACGTCATTAAAAGTGCCTGTTAGTATACTGGTACCGAAGACAGCTATGCCATACGTAAATTCCGGTACACTAATTTTGTCAACCGTGGTAAGGACACCACCTTGTATGTTACATCGCAGGATCGTCTTGTTCAGGTGCATAGCCACCAGTACCTCCCTGGCCTTGCATCCTCGGGTGACGTCAATAGGCTGGCCCTCTAACACGTGATCGCCCATGTAATCATACGTCTCGTTAAACAACACAAGACGGTTGTTTTTACAATCGGTTAATATAACACCTTCTCCGTCAATGTAGACGCCACCAGTCAAATGGATCTTGTAAGCTCCTCCGAGACCAAGACAAGCAACGGACTTGACCATAGACAGATTCGCTGTCAGCACGTCCAAGGTTTTAGTCGGTGATGCGGGTGATGCTGGCGATGTTGGTGGTGAAACCACCGGAACTTGCTGGACGTCACTGAGCATGTCTGAGCCTGCCCACGTATCGGCTAAAGATGGTGATGTAGGCATCACATTGAGAGTATCAATCAGTGTAGTGACGTGTGTGAGCACATCTTGTGACGAAGAGGATTTCGACGTCGACACATCAACTCGTCCTAAACTGGTCAGAGCATGAAGGATTTTGTCTAATCCTTCGTTCACATTAAGTATGAGATCAACATCGTTGTGTATGTCCTTGACCTTGTGATGTAGTCGCCGGAAGTGGCTAGATATCTGGGAAATCGTTTGTTCCCTACCTATAAACCTCTGAACACTCGATCCTTGTGTGTCCAGTAGAGCCATATACGTATTGCAGTTTTCCACATTTGTGAAAAACCCTTTCACAAATTTTTCGCGATTCCATAGGACTTCACTTTGCGATCTGACCACGTGATCAACATTTTCCTGAAATCTAGTGAATAAGTCATCAAGAGTATTTTTTGATCTTTGAACGTTTGCAGACATGGTTTCCAAAAGTGCCTTTTTTCTCAGTTCAAGCTTTTCCCTGTTATTTTCACTTTCATTCACTAGTTTTCCTGTCTCCTCTTTCATTCTACTCCATTCTGACTGCTGGGAATAAAGCTTCGTCTTTGAAACTATGTTGTCAATACTTTTGTAGCGTTGACAGGATCTGTGGGAGAGAGTGATACACATGGAACAGCAGAGCGAGTTATGGTCCAGACAAAACAGTTCCAGCCGCTTCCCGTCATGCTCAGGACAGGTTTCATTGACACTAACCACTGGGCTATAGCTGGTACGCGCGTAGTCCTCCCATGGGATAGTGGTGTGCTTGGAAGACATTTTATTTTTCCCGTGAGCATCACCGCACGTCTTGCATATCGCTTCCATACATTCTCTGCACCAGACATGCGCCGTGACCTTCTGGTCGTCCCTCAAACAGGCGTCACAAGCCTTTGCCACCTCTGACCTACTGCCATGTAAACCTGGGTTGTGGAATGGGAGGTTTACAGGCAGAGAGGTTGCCCATTTACTTGCAGGAGCCGTGGGCTCCTTGGGTAAAACAGGATGGTCACAGGCAGGACAGGGGAAATACGTCTTTTCCTGGCTGATCACGCGCTCATTTCGGATGTATTTGTCGATACAGAGGAAACAAAAGGCATGGTAGCATGGTAATTCTCTAGGATCCATGCAGTCCCGAAGACACAGCATGCACTTGAATGACGAAACGTCGGAGTATGTGTTTCGCGCCGCCATTTTTCCAATCCACAACACGACCTGGAAAAAATGATAAATACAAATATAGAAGAGTATTTTTATATTTAGTAGAGTAACTGTAGGTCGAGAGGTAAATTCGTGGTAAAGAATAACATTCTGTAACGAGCGAGATATATTTGGTGCAGGGGCCATATATTCTATGACGAAGATTATAGGACAAAATCTGCAACGGAAAATTCATATGTGGTACGAGAGCCACTATATATGTAACGAGCGAGATATATTTGGTGCAGGGGCCATATATTATATGACGAAGATTATAGGACAAAATCTGCAACGGAAAATTCATATGTGGTACGAGAGCCACTATATATGTAACGAGCGAGATATATTTCGTGCAGGGGCCATATATTCTATGACTAAGATAAATAAAACAACCCGGTAAAGCAAATCATTACCTTCTAAGCCTGGCGGAGTTGAATCAAGGCGGGTTGTACCGTCCGTTCCGTGAAATACGCTCTGTTGAGTTTAATCGGGACGGGTGTGGGTACTGTTGTACTGTGCAACAATACACATATGCCACTGTCATATAGTTATACGTAAAAGGTGCCAAGTCAAACTTCAATTTCCACGAATAACTAACAATAAAGCCAGACACCACTATCCGGCACAGCAGACTGGTACTAATACGTACAGCACACATACGTATTAAACTGGTTTGTAACATGAATAACCTAAAAATAGACCAAATTTCCTAGCTGTTACGCCTGTATTGGGAGATACCCATTTACGTACGGTTTTTACCGACAATACCTAATGTGCGTGGTGTATGACCTGAATACACTATTAGGTTAGACTTATGTCAGTTCCTAATAACAATTATTTTGGGAAAACCCGATTCATGTTACATTCGGATTTACCGGCTTATCTTGATCACAGCTATCTGTCACGAATGAGAAAAAAAAAGATACTTATGCACAAATATAATAATAGTAAATTATTATGTTTATTTTGTCTCATTCGCGATAGGTAGCTGTGATCTTAATTGGGACTAAGCATGGATAAATTTATTCGTATATATTAAAGGGACATACCGTTAAGAACAATATTTCAGTTATTGAATGTGTAGGATCCCCATATTCATAGTCCGTTCCAAATGTCAAGTTTGACCACTTAAATTGTTCAGGAAAGCCCTGTTAAAAAAGCGCCGATATGCACTTACAAAATTATTTAGTATTTGATATCAGGATGACTGCATTTATACTTCAGATAGGTATATAGAGTTTAAATGTTTCAATACAGTAATTAACGCTATTCAACCTTACTTGCGTATTTTTTATGGATTATAAAAGGATAAATAAGATATTTTAAAGACAATAAATGCACACCAACGAGTATAGTGTCATGTGCGTGCGTTTGTTTGGGTTTTTAGCCAGGGTCATGTGAGGACGAGTGCCTAGGGAGACACCGCCTGAAACAGAAAGTAATTAGAAAAGAAAGAAGACAGGAAAGATAGAAAACAAAAACGACCACGGCCCAAGTGTTGTAATGACGGTAGCAGATCAATTTTGGTCTCTTTAATTTCATGTCCCGTACGAAGAAGACAATTTAAGGAAGAAAATCCCCGATTCTTCTGTAGTCCCACATTAGTCTCCCTTTACGATACACATGTCGCGGGGGTACAGTAGGAAAATTCTTCTGTAGTCCCACATTAGTCTCCCTTTACGATACACATGTCGTGATGTTACAGCAGGTCAATTCTTCTGTAGTCTCACATTAGTCTCCCTTTACGATACACACGTCGCGGGGTTACAGTAGGAAAATTCTTCTGTAGTCCCACATTAGTCTCCCTTTACGATACATGTCGTGAAGTTACAGCGTCTCTTTAATTTCATGTCCCGTACGAAGAAGACAATTTAAGGAAGAAAATCCCCGATTCTTCTCTAGTCCCACATTAGTCTCCCTTTACGATACATGTCGTGAAGTTACAGCGTCTCTTTAATTTCATGTCCCGTACGAAGAAGACAATTTAAGGAAGAAAATCCCCGATTCTTCTCTAGTCCCACATTAGTCTCCCTTTACGATACACATGCCGTTGGGTTACAGCAGGTCAACTCTTCTGTAGTCCCACATTGGTCTCCCTTTACGATACACATGTCGCGGGGGTACAGTAGGAAAATTCTTCTGTAGTCCCACATTAGTCTCCCTTTACGATACACACGTCGTGGTGTTACAGCAGGTCAATTCTTCTGTAGTCCGTCATTGGTCTACCTTTACGATACACATGTCGCGGGGTTACAGCAGGGGAATTCTTCTGTAGTCCCACATTAGTCTCCCTTTACGATACATGTCGTGAAGTTACAGCGTCTCTTTAATTTCATGTCCCGTACGAAGAAGACAATTTAAGGAAGAAAATCCCCGATTCTTCTGTAGTCCCACATTAGTCTCCCTTTACGATACATATGCCGTGGGGTTACATCAGGTCAATTCTTCTGTACTCCGACATTAGTCTCCCTTTACGATACACATGTCGTGGTGTTACAGCAGGTCAACTCTTCTGTAGTCCAACATCAGTCTCCCTTCACGATACACATGCCGTGGGGTTACAGCAGGTCAACTCTTCTGTAGTCCGACATCAGTCTCCCTTCACGATACCCATGCCGTGGGGTTACAGCAGGTCATCTCTTCTGTAGTCCGACATTAGTCGCCCTTTACGATACACATGTCGTGGGGTTACAGCAGGTCAACTCTTCTTTAGTCCAACATCAGTCTCCCTTCACGATACACATGTCGTGGTGTTACTGCAGGTCACCTCTTCTGTAGTCCAACATCAGTCTCCCTTTACGATACACATGCCGTGGTGTTACTGCAGGTCAACTCTTCTGTAGTCCCACATTAGTCTCCCTTTACGATACACATGTCGTGGTGTTACTGCAGGTCAACTCTTCTGTAGTCCAACATCAGTCTCCCTTTACGATACACATGCCGTGGGGTTACAGCAGGTCAACTCTTCTGTAGTCCGACATTAGTCTTCCTTTACGATACACATGCCGTTGGGTTACAGCAGGTCAACTCTTCTGTAGTCCGACATTAGTCTCCCTTTACGATACATGTCGTGAAGTTACAGCAGGTCAATTCTTCTGTAGTCCCACATATGTCTCCCTTTACGATATACATGCCGTTGGGTTACAGCAGGTCAATTCTTCTGTAGTCCCACGTTAGTCTCCCTTTACGATACACATGCCGTTGGGTTACAGCAGGTCAACTCTTCTGTAGTCCGACATTAGTCTTCCTTTACGATACACATGCCGTTGGGTTACAGCAGGTCAATTCTTCTGTAGTCCCACATATGTCTCGCTTTACGATATACATGCCGTTGGGTTACAGCAGGTCAATTCTTCTGTAGTCCGACATTAGTCTCCCTGTACGATACACATGCCGTTGTGTAACAGCAGGTAAATTCTTCTGTAGTCCCACATTAGTCTCCCTTTTCGATACACATGTCGCGGGGTTACAGCAGGTCAATTCTTCTGTAGTCCCACATTAGTCGCCCTTTACGATACACATGTCGTGGTGTTACTGCAGGTCAACTCTTCTGTAGTCCAACATCAGTCTCCCTTTACGATACACATGCCGTGTGGTTACAGCAGGTCAACTCTTCTGTAGTCCGACATTAGTCTCCCTTTACGATACACATGTCGTGGTGTTACTGCAGGTCAACTCTTCTGCAGTCCAACATCAGTCTCCCTTTACGATACACATGCCGTGTGGTTACAGCAGGTCAACTCTTCTGTAGTCCGACATTAGTCTCCCTTTACGATACACATGCCGTAGGGTTACAGCAGGTCAATTCTTCTGTAGTCCCACGTTAGTCTCCCTTTACGATACACATGCCGTAGGGTTACAGCAGGTCAATTCTTCTGTAGTCCGCCATTAGTCTCCCTTTACGATACACATGCCGTGGGGTTACATCAGGTCAATTCTTCTGTAGTCCGACATTAGTCTCCCTTTACGATACACATGTCGCGGGTTTACAGTAGGTAAATTTTTTTGTAGTCCAACATCAGTCTCCCTTTACGATACACATGCCGTGGGGTTACAGCAGGTCAATTCTTCTGTAGTCCGACATTAGACTCCCTTTACGATACACATGTCGCGGGTTTACAGTAGGTAACTTTTTTTGTAGTCCAACATCAGTCTCCCTTTACGATACACATGCCGTGTGGTTACAGCAGGTCAACTCTTCTGTAGTCCGACATTAGTCTCCCTTTACGATACGCATGTCGCGGGTTTACAGTAGGTAAATTTTTTTGTAGTCCAACATCAGTCTCCCTTTACGATACACATGCCGTGGGGTTACATCAGGTCAATTCTTCTGTAGTCGGACATTAGTCTCCCTTTACGATACACATGCCGTAGGGTTACAGCAGGTCAATTCTTCTGTCTTCTGTAGTCCCACATTAGTCTCCCTTTACGATACACATCCCGTGGTTTTCCAGCAGGTCAACTCTTCTGTAGTCCGACATTAGTCTCCCTTTACGATACGCATGTCGCGGGTTTACAGTAGGTAAATTTTTTTGTAGTCCAACATCAGTCTCCCTTTACGATACACATGCCGTGGGGTTACAGCAGGTCAACTCTTGCGTACCCCTACATTAGTCTCCCTTTACGATACACATGCCGTGGGGTTACAGCAGGTCTATTCTTCTGTAGTCCCACATTAGTCTCCCTTTACGATACATGTCGTGGAGTTACAGCAGGTCAATTATTCTGAAGTCCGACATTAGTCTCCCTTTACGATACACATGCCGTGGTGTTACATCAGGTCAATTCTTCTGTAGTCCCACATTAGTCTCCCTTTACGATACACATGTCGTGGTGTTACAGCAGGTCAATTCTTCTGTAGTCCCACATTGGTCTCCCTTTACGATACATGTCGTGAAGTTACAGCAGGTCAATTCTTCTGTAGTCCCACATTGGTCTCCCTTTACGATACATGTCGTGAAGTTACAGCAGGTCAATTCTTCTGTAGTCCCACATTAGTCTCCCTTTACGAAACACATGCCGTGGGGTTACAGCAGGTCAATTCTTCTGTAGTCCCACATTAGTCTCCCTTGGGTTACAGCATGTCAATTCTTCATCTTTTCAATGTCCCCTAAACAGAAGAAACCAGGGAGCCTGAAGTTGGGTCCTAGTTCTTTGTTCCCAGTTCCGTTTAACATAAACATGAACATGAACATGAACATGAACATGAACCAGACCCCAGTTTCGTATAGTCTACTTCGCAAAACGGATGGTAAAAGGCGCGTAGTTATATCTGAATCCAGTACAGGAATCGAACACACAACCTTTCACACGAAAATTAAGACTACCATAGCATCTACAAAGAAATTAGTCTGATACGGAACTGAGATTCAAACTCCAGTTACGTTTTTCCTTAAACGAAACTGGTAACCAGACCCCAGTTCCGTATAGTAAACGTATATGTTTTTTGTAATTCTTTCCCTGTCTACCTCGCAAAACGAAAGGTCAAAAAGTGCTGGTTATAACCGAATCCACTACAGAAATCGAACCAACAACCTTTCACAAGAAAAGTAAGCCTCTATAAAGTAATTCGTCTTATACGGACGGACCTGAGATTCAAACTCCAGTTACGTTTTTCCTTAAACGGAACATGGAACTAGGAACTAGGAACCAACTTCAGGCTCCCAAGAAACCAACCCCGAGTCTGCAGGTGGGCACCACATTAGTCGCCTCTTATAATCAAGCAGAAGGATACAGCAGGCCTATTGGATGCTATGACCCTCTATAAAGACGACAGTTTCTCCATTAGTCTGAAGTTACCCATGTGTAAATGAAATTGAACCACTTAGATATGGGACGGGGTTACAAAGAATACACTATTGTATATTAATGTACAGATATCTCTGTTGACAGCGTCGTCACGTCATGTCCCTATCACATTGATATATGTTACAGTGTGTGGGTCTACAGTGTGACAAACAGTGGAGATAAAAACAGAATTTGGTTTGTAAATATTTTCATCATCATAAGATACATGCACAATCCAATAAACATTTATAATCGGAGTATAACTAATGGTCGTTCGAATGTGAAATGTGTATCGTTCCGGTCAGTCGGACCGCGATAAGTTTAGAGTAGCCGTGGGCACATGTACGGACAGGGACGTAGATAAACTATCGGATAACAACGGGCGGAAGTACTATCAACTTTAACCAAGCACATTTTACAATTTCTCGTTATATCATTATCTGTAATGAACAATGTTTATGAAATATGAAAGTCTACAATGTCATTTAAAACTTATGAATACATTCATATTAAGTTAATTCACCGCTCCTGTCGATTTAGATGCTATCTAGTCACAAACGGTGTCGATTTAGATGCTATCTAGTCACAAACGGTATGATCACTGACTTAGATGACTAATTCCGTTGTATGACAAAATAAACACTGGATACTCCCCAAACTGGTGTAATGTTTACGGCACTGATATTGCCACGGTGATACTGTTGTGCATTTGAAAAAACAAATTGATAATAATCAAAGGTTTTTTCCCGATAGCTGCAGACAGGGATGTAAAGACTGTCCGATTGTCGTTTGCAAACCTTTCTGAAATACCCAAGATATGTCCAAACCTTTTAAAATGTATACACGTTAATAAAAAATCGAACCATTAACAATTCTTCTAAAATAATATTTTTCTGAAAACTGTTCATTACTGATCCACTCAACCAACGTAAACTTCAGTAAAGTAAAGTTGACAATGCTTCAAACACACCTGTTGATTGAAGATAAACAGGTTGACGAGTAAGGGTACAATGGCCAGCGACATGTACGTAACGTACCTATGCTTTGATGACGTATGTATGGCGGAAACATGAGTTAGGAAGGAATATACCCTGTACAGGACCGATGCTTGCATTTATACTACAGTAGAAATTACGCCAACTGGACTTACATTGGGAACATTTTGTGTACATGACCCCGTGTTAGAGGCGCGTTTACCTGGTGTCCGGATTTACACGTGGGAAGTGGGCGTGTTTGAATCTCAAAAACACAGGTAAGTGTATCACGTGTGTTCAGATACAAATATATAACTATGTTAGTATTACATAAATTATTGTACATTTCACTAAACTAATGTACAGTGTTGACTATACACCGCTGCTGAATATTGCGAACTAGGTAAACTATTTTGTATACGCCGTGTGGTGCTGTCTTCCGACTCAGCTTAGATAATTTCTCTAACTCATTAGGTAAATCGTCAGACTAGTGAAAGCTGTCCCAAGTTTGACCTGTAGCACATGCATTGAAAAAGATAACATACATGCTAACTTTTTGAAATTTCCATGGGGAGATTGTGCATGCTCAAAATTAAAAACATAGATACAATGTGTGTATACACTCTCTGGAGACAAAATATAACAATTTTCTCATCGCTCGCACGTAGATACATTCTCGAGTCTACCTGCGGTGGCCTCTCGATTTTATCCACGTGCTCGCGATGAGAAACTTTTCTCACGACAAACCCTGAAAATAAGGTGATATTATATAATTCTCTTACCCTGGACAGGTGTATCCGCACCTGTACCGGTGTGAGATTAATAGAATCTCTCACCCCCTTAGATAGGGGAATCTCAACCCGAGTGGGGAGATTCTTATATTGCCAAACACGAGTGTTTGGCAACTTAAGAATCTTTCTCCCGAGGGTTGAGATTCCCATATCTACTCACAATGCTAAATTCAGGATTGACGTGACGTTGAAGGATTGTTGACGTGACTTCATTGTATTGTTGAAGTGACGTCATACCGTTGTTATGAATAGGGGAATCTCCCGTCTCAAGCCTATGGTGAGATAAGGAAATCTCACACCGGTAAAAGTGCGGATACACCTGTCTAGGTTAAGAAAATTCCTTTAGTCTCAACCTGGGGTTCCCCTATTCATAACAATGGTATGACGTCACGTCAACAATACAATGACGTCATGTCAACAATACAATGACGTCACGTCGACAGTCCATCAACGTCACTCCCTCGGGGAAAGTTTCTTAAGTTGCCAAACACTCGGCAAAGCCTTGTGTTTTGCAAATTAAGAATCCTCCCACTCGGGTTGAGATTTCCTAATACCATCCCATAGGGGCTGAGAGATTCTATTAATCAGATGACAGATTGTCATCCAAGTAAAACAATTATTGATTTCCAATATCAATGAATTATTCACATTTTGTTTTCAGAAATTTCGCGACGGCCTGGAAGTAAAAGCTATTATGGGACAGAAAACGAAAAAGCGTGGTGTCTCTTCAGGAGTCAGAGGTGTTCCGAAAGGTTCAGGACACACACCAGAGAAGGAAAAAACGGTAAATGTCCTCCCGTCCACAAGGTTCCTTCTAGGTATCATTGTGTGTTTGGGATTAGCAATACTCTTTGCCCTGCTGTACCCTCAAATATCAGGTCCAGCTTCCGATAGGGTAGCACGGTTGGAACCAGAACAGCTGGAGACAGACAGTGATTCTTGGACAGTGCAGGATACCGCTCATCTGAAAAACGACGACACGGATGACGTACCTGTTTTGAAGCAGAATGATCCAATGATAGATGAAGACATTGAACCAATAAATAATGCAAAACAAACCGTCCCCTTAACGAGGAAAGACGATGGTAAGATACATTTTACACAGGAAACTAAACAATCAAATGAAGAAAAACAACACCATCCATCTAAGGACAACGGTTCATCAACTCAAAGTACGTCCAAGACAAAAATAAAATCCTCTCCAGGCAAGAACAAGAAGAAGTCGAAATCCTTAAAGAAAGAAGCATCCTCTAAAAGTGCCTCTAGAACAAAGACTGACGCATCTTCGCCAACCTCTACACCTTCAGATGAGGAAGAATTACCAAAGGAGGTGAGGGACTTCAAGCCTACATTTCAAAAGACAATGAAACCGAAAAAAATATTCGCCGACGGAAGGAGACTTCCACCGATAGAACTGTTACCACAGAAACCAAACAACAGTAGCGTCAAGTAAGTATATACTGCTTAAACCAAACAACAGTAGCGTCAAGTAAGTCCATACTGCTTAAACCAAACATGATGTTGTTGATGATGATGATGATGTATTAAGATGATAATGGTGTATTACTATTGATGATGATTGACAAGGCTGATGATGATATCCAGTCACGATGAGGATGATGATGATGAAAGATATGACGATGCAAGAGACAAACCAGGCAAATGGGAATTGTATGTATGTGGGTGTATGTGTGTTAATGTATTTATGTAATAAAAATGTCTTTAAAAATAAACAAATTATAAAAAAAAAAAACCAGTAGCATCAAGTAAGTCCATACTGCTGAAACCAGACAACAGTAGCGTCAAGTAAGTCCATACTGCTGAAACCAAACAACCGTAACGTCAAGTAAGTCAACACTGCTGAAACCCTAAACAACAGCAGCGTCAAGTAAGTATATACTACTGAAACCAAACAACAGTAGCGTCAAGTAAGTCCATACTGCTGAAACCAAACAACAGTAGCGTCAAGTAAGTCCATACTGCTGAAACCAGACAACAGTAGCGTCAAGTAAGTCTATACTGCTGAAACCAAACAACAGTAGCGTCAAGTAAGTCCACACTGCTGAAACCAAACAACAGTAGCGTCAAGTAAGTCCATACTGCTGAAACCAAAAAACAACAGCGTCAAGTAAGTATATACTTCTGAAACCAAACAACAGTAGCGTCGAGTAAGTGCACATTGCTGAAACCAAACAACAGTAGCGTCAAGTGAGTCCATACTGCTGAAACCAAACAACAGTAGCATCAAGTAAGTCCATACTGCTGAAACCAAACAACAGTAGCGTCAAGTAAGTCCGTACTGCTGAAACCAAACAACAGTAGCGTCGAATAAGTTGTAAGTTAACAGCTTTTACCACATAAACGTAACAGTATCGAGTAAGTTTCAGTTAGCTGTAACCATAGGAACATTACAACACCAGCATCAAGTAAGTTGTTACAGAAACCAAACAGCAACGCCAAGTAACTGTATTGAGTTGTAGTTATTAGTTAGTTTCGACCGCAGAAGCAACAATATAATAATATAGCAATAATACAAAGAGTCGAAGCAATCTGATCAGCAGCAGCGTCAAGATAGTCTCTTGTCGACCCACTACTGCGTACTTATTAGCTGTTACCACAGAAACCAAACAACAACAGCGTCAGGTGAGTCCCTTGTCGACCCACTACTGCGTACTTATTAGCTGTTACCACAGAACCCAAACAACAACAGCGTCAGGTGAGCCCCTTGTCGACCCACTACTGCGTACTTATTAGCTGTTACCACAGAAACCAAACAACAACAGCATCAGGTAAATCCTTAATCGTCTCGTTCTTTTGTAACTTAAACAATGACGAAAACAAACATAACGTTAAATGGGAAGAAAAGCAATCGAAAACGACCCCTAAAATTAATTTAGTCGTAATTTAGTCACATAAAAAAGCACATTTTGTCGATCCATATGAGTAAGTCTTGATAGATCATAGGCACTTAGTGTTCTAATAATAGCTAGAAATGAGCGGGAAAGCACAATATATTTTGTATAGGTCCTATGCCGTTACAAATAATTACCTCACAAAAGTCATACGTGTTTCGTTTGTTTTACTCATTTTTAGCCGTATATAGATAGCACTGTTCTACATGTGTCGCATAATGTACACAGGTTTTGGTTTTCACTGTTGATCAGTGTTATTTTCGCGGTTTCCTGATCGTTTGATATGAAGCATTACTTGGTTAGAATTGTCCACTGTCTTCATATTCAATTAATCGACTTAAATCGATAAGCCCGCTATATAAAGGTCATTGATAGCCAGTTTTCTCATCGCCTGTCTTGTGCTATTTCCCTGGAACTATGGATATCGTGATGACGTCGTAATTCCGCTGTTCCAGGGTGTTCCTTTATGACGAGTTCTTGTCGGAGGCTGAATGTGATGGTCTCATGAAGGTCCATGACAGTCACGTGACACAGGCCAACAAACATGATCCTTTCGTCTGCTTCGATTCCATCAGCACACTTAGACAACACCTCAAGGCCAACAAAGTCAAGGTCAAGGTCACTCCACAGGACTTTATGCCAGGTACTATTATGATAATGATTATTTTTTCTTAATAACGTTGACACTTCATCACATATTTAAACTATGTTGATTGGAGAGTTAGAGTTTGAAATGAAATCTTACAAATATGTTTAATGTAAATTAACTTTAAACTTTAAACGAATGCTTTGTTTAAAACATGTCTTTAAACTACCATAGGAACGCTCTGTGTGAACGCCACGTTCTCAACCCAGTTGAAGTCGTGGCTCCACTCCAACTGGAGCTACAGTACGGCGTTCTACCCCGGCGAGAGCAGGTTCTCCAAGGTGTTTGAGTACAGGGTCAAAGAGGCCACCGGCCTCCTTCCAGAAAATGGCGGGAAGTTCCAGCTCACGTCATACCCTCTCGGAATAGGTGAGACAAGCGCTGAAAAAGTACAAAATCATTAATTTACATCGATCTGGGGACAAAAATTCTTCATGTTTGCAGTTTGTACAGTGATCTGATTATATTTAACATTTTATCTTCAACACCTTCTTTGATTAGTCTGTAATACGGTTTTTTCCGTTGATAAGGTAATGACTTTGGCGTTTTCGACTTAGTAGCGTGCGATTGATTTGGCGTTCCCTATCTACACATGACGCAAAGGAGTTGCATTACATAAATTTGTGAAAAATTGTTATCTTTTAACGAAAAGTACTCAAAAGACAACGGAGAGTGAAGTAATGAATATCCATACTTACAAAGAACGAACTCCACCCCCATCCCACCGACTACCCCCTACCGACTACCCCCACCCCTCACCCCGCAGTTATAGGTTTGTTGAACCGTTTTACTAATGAATGAATGCATTTTTCATATCAACAGGCTACAAGACACACACAGACTGTATCGAAAACTCAAATGATCAAAGAGACCGCATGGCCACTATACTGGTGTACCTTCAGGACGTGGAGGATGGTGGGGAGACCATGTTCCCGGGTAAGTAACAGAGTTCCCTTCAGGACATGGTGAAGGGTGGGGAGACTATGTTCCCGGGTAAGTAACAGAGGTGCCTTCAGGACGTGGAGGAGGGTGGGGAGACCATGTTCCCGGGGAAGTAACACAGCTCCCTTCAGGACGTGGAGGAGGGCGGGGAGACTATGTTCCCGGGTAAGTAACAGAGTTCCCTTTAGGACATGGGGGAGGGTGGGGAGACTATGTTCCCGGGTAAGTAACAGAGTTGCCTTCAGGACGTAGAGGAGGGTGGGGAGACCATGTTCCCGGGTAGGTAACACAGCTCCCTTCAGGACGTGGAGGAGGGTGGGGAGACCATGTTCCCGGGTAAGTAACACAGCTCCCTTCAGGACGTGGAGGAGGGCGGGGAGACTATGTTCCCGGGTAAGTAACACAGCTTCCTTCAGGACGTGGAGGAGGGTATCTGAGAAGTCCATGGTTAATGCTCTCGAAATACGTATTTCTCTGTAACCTTATAACCTTTATGATAGAATCGAACGCTCATGGATGGTTATTTGTTTGGTTCCTTAAATTAAAAAAACTTACCAATCGCAAGGGATAAAGACCGTGATTCCTCTGCTTAGATTAGAGCCGGTAAAGTTTACCTTTACTCTGCCGCGCGATTCCTTCTTATCTTTCATTTGTCTGAGATCACCCGTTGGCTAAATTCCGTATCACCCCGGGGTGCAAGGCGGTACACTTGAGTACATGACTTTTATTCTGTCATAAAATAACTAAGGCTGCTGAGTAGAAATGTTATATCGGAAACAGAGCCTTGGATTTCGAGGACTGGAGGAGGGCCTGGAGAACATGTTTCCGAGTATGTTACAGATATGTATTTTAAGGACGTTTAGTCAGACAGGGAATCATAGGTCAATAACAGTACTTATGAAAAAATTTCCTGTCGTTTTAGTAAACATAATATATCGGTTTTTCAAAAAGAAGTCGAGGCAACTTTAGTTATTATAATAAGTACGATTTTATCAAATAGAGAACATCGGATTATGTAGGCATATTTTGGGGCCGCCTTGCAATGTATATCATATATCTATTGGCACACGTTCGTTGCATATCAGTGATATGACTAATTTTGTCTACCTGGATGAAACAGTTTTAATTATAAAAAGCTGTGGGTCAATTTTCAGAACTGGGCATATGGGTAAAACCACGGAAAGGACGGGCGCTCGTATGGAACAACATGAACGAGGACGGCAAGTGTGAGCCGCTGTCTATCCATAAGGCCGCTAAGGTGGATCAAGGTCACAAGTACATTCTACAGAGATGGTGAGTTGCGTATAGTTATCACCACGGGGACCACATAATTTACTATAGTCACATTTTGATCTAAATTGAGGTGTTCAGAGTAGTAAAAATGTTTTAGAGGTTTATAACAATTTTCGGTAAAAATGCCATCCCCAGTGATGATATATGCGAGGTGTTCCGAATATTGATCTAAACCCCTTAGCACCTTAAACGTGTAAAATTACTCTGAGCACCTCATGATAGATTAGGGCAGTATTTTAACAAAAAATTGACATAAACCCCTTAATGTGTAAAATTACTTTGAACATCTCAATTTAGGTCCAAATATAGAGGTAGCTAATTATCAGGTCCCTGTGGTTGTTCAAAGTACAGCCCGGACTGCTAAAAACATATTTATATTAAGAACACTTCATTGACGGTACCTTTTGATTTTACCCATTCAAACTGAAGTTGAAATATCAAGATAGTTTAATTAAGGCTGTTTCTACAAACGTGTCGAATTAAGGCTGTTACTACAAACGTGTCGAGTTAAGGCTGTTACTACAAACGTGTCTAATGAAGGCTGTTACTAAAAACATGTCTAATTAAGGCTGTTACTACAAATGTGTCTGATTGAGGCTGTTACTACAAAGATTTTTTACTCTTTCTTGAAGGTATTACTACAAAAGTTTTTACTCGCTGGGTAAGCGACCACCGGAACCGGAAATACCACATCGAGCAGAATTTCAGGGACGCGTTTCTTGTGATGAATACCAGCACGGAAGTTGTCGATGGTATGACGAGTGGAACTACGACCATTTGGTGGACTATCTCAACAGGAAGGCCACACTTATCTAAATTTAAAAATCAAACAAACGTAATGGATATACTGCCTTCTGGTTGACCATCTCAACAATAAAGGAATAAAGACCACGTCTATCTCAATAAACAAAAAACAAAAACAAACATAATGGATCTACGACCATCTGGTGGTCTGTCTCAGCAGAAAAAAACACACTTATCTTAATAAAGGATTTAAAAAAATGCAATGACTTGATGTTGATGGGGTAACACGAACTAATCTGTTTGATTTTTCAAAAATGGATTCCAAATACTTCTCGAATCGAATAATTTCATTAACTTTTAACCAAAAAATTGGTTTCTTGAATTTTGAAAGAAATATTTTCTTTCGCAAACTGACAAACGGATGTTTTGACGACAACAATTATATTTGATAATAGTACTGTTACCGAGAGGTACTCTCTCGTGTTTATCGAATGTTAGAACGTTCATGTGGACAAGCAATCAGGAACCGTAAACGAGACGGAAAGTGCCGACAGTTCTCGATTGGTGGACAGGAAGTATCAGGAAGATAAGGGACAATGTACACACGCTTCACTTTGGCTGTGTTTTTAAGTCTTGACACGTTTATATAATAATTGTTGACATCGTCTTAAAGTAATAGTGAGCAAAATGGCAAGATCAGTAATTGCTGTTTTTGAAGCTAATGAACACATATGACGCAAACAAAATGCCGGATGAAGTTTGAGTTTAGCAAGGGCATAACAAGCATGATGGTTGAAGGCAATATCGAGCGCACTAAAGCATACTTGGCATGTGTAGGGTTGTACTAATGCAGTCAAGCTCAGCTAAATGAAATACAGTTATCGTTGCTAATTTAAAAATTAGAAACCTTTTAACAGAACCAGGAAGTACTATTTGACCGTTTTGACCAAAAAAAAAAATTGGTCACAAATATAACGAACAGGTTTGGCTTCCATCTCATCAGATAGTTTAAAGTCAGTTTTCAGTATTTTAAAATTGTGTTTTTAAAATATGTATGCGTTTGAGGTAGTTTCCGTATTTTGATTAAATATTTTTACAATCTACACTGTTTTACAGAACTTCTCTTCATAATTGGATTTTGTGTTTTATCATAAAGCCTCAATGTTCTAGTCTATAAAATGTACAGTCGCGCACAAGTGATAAACTATGTATATACTGTACATTTCTGCGGTGCGTTTGAATATTGGTTAAGCTCTGAAAACTTCGTTGCGGTTATATAATGACGAATATTTTTGAAGTATAAAGCATGCGTAGATAAATGTTAAATCATATGTTGCATTAAGAATTGTGATGACGTTACTGATATGTGCCATGACGTCATGGACAAGACTATTGTTCGTCTCTGAACAATAGCACGTTTCCCTAGTGACGGTAGTTATGCGCGCGTAATATTTCAAGCGCCAAGACGTTCTGCAATTGTTAGCAAAAAGCATTCTTAAAAAAACGTGATGTTTTTGTCCATTTTTATACCTGTTGTCTACTTCTTGACCGGTAAAAACAAAGGTAAGATACAGAATCATTTCTTTTAGGGAAAATCACAGGTAAGTCACAGAATTGCGTCTTGTTAATTCATAGGTAAAGGTTTTCTATTTTCGGTTTACTGAGCTGTCTTACTGATCACTCCCACACATAATTTGAAAAGTAATTTTTAAAGTTGTATTTTTCGGACAGAGTTATAAAGTATATATGTAAGAAAATGGACTGTTTGGCAATACGTTGTATCGTTTTTTTGTTTGCTTAAACGTTTTCATCTTAAGGCAAGTAGAAAAAGCCAATCTGATTAAAATCCTCTGTTACATGTACATCACAACCTGGAAAAGGGGGTGTTTTTACTGTTCATTTTAACTTTGAGCACGTTTAATGTACACCGGGACCTATATACTTACCGTTAGTTCTCGTGATTTGACCCCCAGAGCCTGTCGAGTGTTACCGTGATACGACCCGCCTGCTCTGTGACTGGTTCTATGATCGTCCCTCCACCTCCTCCCAGGCAGACCAATACGCTACGGTAACTGAAACATTGTTTTGATAACTTCCTACATATTCTAATTAAGAAACCGCTCAACGAGTGGAACTGTTTTCTAATGCCCAGTCCAATATGAAATATAAACTTTATTCATTTTACAACAATTATGAAACAAGTTATTTCATCTTATATTAATCACTTTTGATTGCCCGGATGTTAGCGCGTGGGGGGTCTTAGTGTGGGAGGAAACAGGAGTACCCGGTGAAAACTCACGGGGATGATCTTTTTGCGATTTCGCGGTTTAATAGAGTGATCGCGAAAATATGATCTGCAGAATAATATGAAAAGCGTGAGAATGAGTCGTGTTAATAAACGTACTAACATAAATGTCGTCATGAAATAGTGAGTATGTGGTAATCAATTATTGGCAGTAACCGTTTCTTATATACGTATACAGCTACATCTTCGCTAGCCAAAGTAAGGGCTACGATCTGGTACGATCTGGTCTTCCTACCGTACCAGATTGTAACCTTTGAATTGGCTAGCGAAGATGATATAGCTACAGTATTTTATGTCGTCTTGGGTATACACTGTATCACTATGAATATTTAATGATAGATTTCTGGTACAGGAATTCTTATCTACACCAGACTCAAAACATAATAATTGTTATAGATAAATAAAAAGATTTTTTTTTATTGTAACGACACTATACAGTCCATAAATTAGCTTTGAAGTTGTTCATAAATCAATTTTTACCCTGTGTCTATCCAATTCATTTCAAAACAGTTTAAATTCTTAACACAAACTACATTTTCCGGTAAATTATTCTACACATTTGCTGCTCTTAGTCAAAAAGCTATTTTTTCTCTTCATAATTGCACACTTTTGGGGTTATATTTTCAAAGAATTTCCTCCATGTCCTGATTGATTTGACACATCTTTCCGTAACTTCAAAAGATCAGTATTGTAATGTATCTATAAAATATATCAATTGTGATATACCAGACCAGACCACAGACGGCGTTGTCCCCCGAGGGGAGACACAGAGAACCAGACATGGCTGTCGTCCCTAACACTGTCTACCCTGATAGCGACCAGTTCTGGAACGACCGCTACAAACAGGTAGGCAAACAGTAAATGTTTTACAGTGTTATACTGAGATACAATGAAAATTCATCAACACTGTAGGTTTCGTTCTTGTGTTTTATTACGTTTAAGAAAAAATCCACAGATCCTGAGGGGGTTTACAGATTTTTGCCTTTGCTACGAAAGTATGCTAAAGCCCTATATCACCAGTCTTAAAATTTTCTTCATAACAAACTTCCAAAACGTCTTATAATGCCCATGTGCTGATCGATGTTCGTAGAGTTAAAAATAATGCAGTTGTTAGCTATGACCAATTAAAAATGGCCCTTGTGCAAGGTGACCAAAAGTACTCATATTCCACACATACATACAGGAACACACAAACATTAAGGGTCCTCGCACCACATTATGTTACACAAACATTAAGGGTGCTCGCACCACATTCTGTTACACAAACATTAAGGGTCCTCGCACCACATTAAGTTACACAAACATTAGGGGTCCTCGCACCACATTCTGTTACAAATGTTCTCTAGGTATTATGTACATAACATTCTAAACCATTTAAAAATATTACCATCATCATTGATGGAAGACAGAAATTAACGAAAAAAAAGAAACATACGAACAACAACTCATTTCACTTGGTCTGCTCATGTACTAAATAATCGTGAACACTAATATGATATTTTCAGCTGAAGACCGGGACCAACCTAAGTTGTACAACATTCCCCAACGACAAGGTCAACTCTACAGTAAGTGTGTGAACACCTCCGTCACAATATTTCCATCTTGATATTCCATGGGGTTACGATCACAGGGGCCTGAGAATTTGTTTCAGCTGTTGGACCTTAACTAAGGTGTTCAGAGTAATTTTACATGTTCTAGGGGTTTCTAACGACTTTCGGTAAAAATGACACCCCGAATGACTATATAACTGAAACATGTAAAATTACACTGAACACCTTCGTTTAGGTCCAAATATAGCTGTAACAAATTATCAGGTCCCTGTGGTTACGCTCACTATCGCTCCTTGAATATGTCATAGTTAAATCGAACACCTTGTGAATGAGACGAGAAGACTAGTTTGGACTTTTGATGTCTATCAAAATAATCTGTCGGTCGCGTAACGGTAAAATTGACTGCCTTTGAAGTCGAATGTCGCTCCTGTGTAACCTTCAAAAGACTGGTATCAGCCTAGCGATTGGTCATTTTTTTTTTTTAAATAGAGTCTTATCAATTAGGTAGCCGCATGCCTTGCATATTGCTATGACATATTCCAGGGGTGAAAAGAGCGGAAGAGTATCGAGGATGATATAGTTTCTGTCCCTTTGGTAACTTAAAAATAAACTTCAGTTATTTTACAACAATTATGAAACAAGTTATCTCAAATTATATTTATCACTCTTGTTGGCTCGGATGTAAGGGCGCGGGGTCTTAATTTGTGGAGGAAACAGAAGTACTCGGAGAAAACCCACGTGGTCGAGCAGGTGACCCCAATAGCTTTTCACGTCCGATCGGGGAATCGAACCCAATCGAACCCCTGTCGCCTTGGTGAAAGGCGTGTGCGCTATCCACTGCGCCACCGCCCACCCTAGTAGCTTGAACTATGTTCTATATGATATGTTCCATGTATATGTATTGTTAACGGGAACAATTGTTACTGTTTTACATTTGTCAAACTGCACGTGAATTTTAAAACATGCACGTTCACTTTTATACAAATGCTTCGCTGTATGAGTTAAATGTCATTATGTCATGGTGATATTCATAGTATTCAAGTTTTTAGTTCTTTCGATGGATGCTGGATGAGAATTCCAACATGGCCGCCAGGCTGAAAAATGTTTATGTTCACTTTTTTGACTAATAGGCATAGTAGACATTCATATAAAATGTGATTTTGAAGGTTTCCAAATGTAAGAGATCCCTGCTTGAATTGCAAAAACAGTCGAGATCGAGTATTCTCCCAACCTCTTTTGATTATTAAAGTTTATACCACATTTTACTTTTAAAACTGTTTTGAAATCAGGGCCCTGTGAGCATACCCAGAGTGTTGCCAGGGAGACAGATATGGTTCGGCGGCATGACCACTCCATTCCGTACCGCCATGAGGAAGCTGTATGCCGCGTCTTGTACTGATGTGAACGTTCCGTCTGAAGAAGGCAGCTCTGTAGATCCGTGCTACACTCCGCAGTACAAGACATGTGATGAAGCTGGTAGTGTGGCAGATCCACGTTCCTGTTGCAGCTCAATTGACAACTGCACTGGTCTCGACTGAACTTGGGAGTGGAGAAATGGTGAAGCACGTGCTCCACGTTTGCACTGTAGCTCTGCCGACAAAAGCGATTGGTTTGACTGAACAAGAGACAAAAGTCCGCTCATATGTACCATGATCTAAAAAATGGGGTTACGGACGGGACCAGATGTTTAAGTATGCTCTGAGAGTGTATTGAATCCGCTCTCAACAAGAACAATGCTATCAACAGTGATTTTTGAAATGATCCATATGGTAGTTGACGTTGTTCCGAAGCATGAGTTTGATACACGAGGATGTTGTTCTTCCCACCTTATACCAGGCCCTTTGAGTTTCAAAATGTCCTGCCCGTCCAGGTCACGCGCTGAAGTTGGACGGTTCAGGCTGTGACAGCGGCTGCGGTCCACGGGACGACGTCCTTAGTGCAGTCCTCGCTGTCCTCCGATGTGTGTTTGTCGTCTGCCATGACTGTTGATTAATGATAAACATTTCCCATCGATGGCTAAATGTATTACAGTAATATCTATTTGAATGCATATAATTATTCGCATTTGTGTACAGAAAATTATTAATATAGTTTTTAACGTGTGTCTGATAAGTAATCATCGTTTGTATTTTAAAAGAATGAAGAATTTGTAAAGAATTGGTAAATCAGGTTTCCGGTTACAGCGAATAAATACGAAGAAATACAAGCAACCTATACATGATATTCGTTTCATATATGTGTAATACGATAAGAAAGAAAGACAAATGTTAAACATATATTTAAATTGATAAATAAATATTTTATCATAAATATCTTGTTTAGTTGTGCCATAATCCAATCGCATTTTTGATACTTTTTTTTTCTCAGAATCAATATGAATTTTAAAGGCATAGAATTGTCCGGATTTCTCCGGAACCTTGAGTGAATTGGGTAGTGAATTATAATAACTGAAAATGACTTCGGGTCATGATCAGTGGGTGGGACTGCGGGACACTTGGTAAACTCATTCACCCATGAATACACAGTTAAGCTCTTCCAATTCAAGGGTTGGAATAGTTCATTATGAAATTTCAGGGATGAATGAGTTAATAGGACAACTGATTAGAGACATTGGGTTATTGGGACGGAAAACAGTGACATGGAAACATTGAACTCCATATCACACAAAACAGACACGTACATCCTGGCTTTATATGTCTCTGCACAAAAGCAACATGTGTGTTAAAATACTATTTAAACAACTTACACTTGAATAGATACATTGAGCTATAATGATCGCCCTGGTAATGATATTTGGTTTTCCAAACTGAGATAATGTATCCCGTTCTATCGTATATGGCATGATCACTGGGACCTGAGAATTAGTTACAGCTATATTTGGACATAAGCTATATGGTGTTTAGAGTATTTTTACACGTTTTAGGGGTTCAGATCAATTTTCGGTAAAAATACCATCCCCAATGAGGCTTATACACTCGTTTTATTTTACCTGTGTCAAAAATTATTTTAATTTTACACGTTTTAGGAGTTTAGTGTACTCGTATATTTTCGGTGGTATTTTGTTTTACCGTAAATTGAACTAAACCCCTAAAACGTGTACAATTACTGCTAACACCTGAGCTTAGGTCCAGATTATAGCTGTAACTAATGCACAGGCTATGCTTACTCTCCGCGTGCTGTTTGATTCGTTACATGAATGTACACAATGATGCTGTTATTTCTAATTTTATGGTATCAGCTGGACACTGAAAGATTGATTTGCTTAGTGTCATTTTCTTAACGTCACTGTTTAATATCCAATAAACAGTGTATCGTGTTACTGTGAAGGGACAAAAGTGGTATACACCAACAGGTAAACTAACTAATTAGGTGGGTTAACGTGATAGACGGGTCCAGATTTCACACCTGTTCAGTGGCCTGCTGTGATACAGGTGAGCATAGCCTGAGGCTGAGTGACGATATCTTTAAACAGGTATCACACATCACAAAAACTGGAGTTAAGAAATTGGGCTACATAACAGAGCACATTGACAGTGCAACAATGGGATCACCCCTTCCTGGGTTTGAATTTTGACCGACTGTAACTCGGTTTGCTGTGACCGACGCTTATGTAGTTGCAAGAAAGATAACTCTGATAGCAGATCGCCTTTGTGTTGAATTTTGAGCCGACTGTGTTATGATACATTGGTCCTTATCTGTGAATAGGCCATCGGGAGTTTGACGCGTGACGTGACGTATCATTTGATTTGTAAAGTAAAGTAAAAAATACTCATATATAGCAACCTTTTTCTTACTGTTCTGTTCCCAATAAACGCTCAAACTTTTATGACCGTATATTCTCTTACTGTAAAAACAACAACACTACAGGTCATTTTTAACAAGATATCACGACAAAACTCCTTCATGAAGCCAGTAAACTGTTTCTAAAATGTGTCAACACAGTAACTATAAATGACAAAACTCATGTAATATGGATAGGTAGTAATTAAAGTATATCACAGAAAAAAACCAGGTTGCAGATTACAGATAAAAAAATGACGGTATTCATGGCGATCGATTTCTTTTCATCTGCCAACAATTCACTTTGGTGCTGATCAATGGATTTTGAAAATAGTCCTAGACCTATATGTATATCAGATATGATCTTACTGGGGCCAGTTCGTTTATGCGGAACAACCGGTTTGTCCCTTTTTAAATATAACAATTTCGGGTATAAATTCTGACGGACCTGCAAATGTTTATGCAGGTATTGCAAGGCTTTGTCGAGGCTTGTCTGAAAGCAGCATCAGATTACTAGGTCCGACCCTACTTAATAAACAACTGTGGTCCGACCGGTTCAACCGTTAAACGAAAACGGCCAAGGTTTCTGCTCTAATGTAAAAAATGTGCATCAAAATACAATTGTATTTAAAAAATAATATTAAAACAAAATGTAATTAAACAGTGCAATTTAATTGTAATTTAACACCAATAGGTAGACCAACAATAACAAGGGATCTCTGTTTGCCAGTGCTTACACATTTATGCCATCATACCATCATCTGAAATAAACACAATCAAAGTTTTCCCCCTTTTTTGTATCTTAAAAAGTGATATCCGATTGTGAAACATTGTGATCAAAATTTGACATCTTTTATTTTGAAATAGCTCTCAAATTAATATGCAAAATTTATCTTAAAGCCAAATTGACATGCGCTAATAATAAATAATGAATTAGTATATTTTCTTTTTTCTTTCTTTTTTCTTGATTATCCCATTAAAACATACTTCATTTAAATTGTTGATGGCTTTTCTACATGCTTGGCACAATATAGAAGGGGTGCAGGGGGAATAGGATTTTCCCAGCCAAATCAAATATTTTAGTTCAGGATATTTCATTCTATAGATAGTCTGATAATATATATACAAATAGACAGTAGGCAACAAGCAAAGCCCCTCCAATGATAAACAGTTCAAACACATCATATTAAACAAGGGACTATATAGAGTCATGACTATTTATATGTTGATATCCGCATTAAACAACATTATAAACAATATTATGAGAAGTTCTTTATACACAACCAATAAACTTGTCTATGTGACGTTTCGATGACTAGTACGATATGTACACTGTCACCTTCATCAGGCAAATGACCAGTGGAGCGTATGCACACAAAGGTGTAAAATGTGTACGAGTTGTCCACAAAATCGATGGCGATTTCGGCTACGCTGTAAGCGTATGTACTACATAGTATGATACATCCATACTAAGAAAAATATGTATGAAAATACTTTCTCCGTCAACCACTCTAGGTTTCCTCACTCCCAATTCACATTTTTAAAATTTTGATTACCCACTACAATGAGTAACACCCTAGACGTGATTTCATTGGTCAATCTTTTAATCATGACGTCAGGTAACAATGTTTTGGGGCGTCATCTTCCATTGTGACGTCATGTTCAAAGCAATTCGGTTTCCCGATCTGAAACAGACATAATGACATAACGTTATGTGGTTTTCTAAATAAAAAATTAACGTTATGGAAATAAAAATGTCCCCCAACTCGTAATGGCTGTAGGGTTATCATGGTTAGTTAGTTAACACTCGTTAGTGAGTTTTCAAAATGTAAAGACACTCGGTTAAGGTCTTGTGTTTATACAATTTAAAAATCAAATAGTTCGAGTGAGATAAACACATGATGACCAACCAGGAACCTCTCTGTTAATTATACGCAATGGTTTGATAGATATGAACACCATTAATTGATTTACTACAGAAAGATAGATGCTCCCCTATTCCTACTGAGTTAAATATAGAATAATCACTCGTGGACTATAACTGTTTTTACCAGCGATACACCTGTATGTCAATACTTTGATTGTTCATAAGAAAGGTAAAAAAGTTTGTTCAGTGGCTGAATATTTGTGGTACATGTATATGATGCTTTGTCACATATCTGCACAGAGATTTTCAGTAAACAAAAGTATCAAAAGCTCAGCTTTAAATATCCAATGAGTAACAAGGACGACAAGAAATAACGCAAGGCCGTAATACTAAATAGTTTTTTGTTACAAAAACGCTGTATTAAATCAGTGTTTTTCGTTGAACTTAAACAATGAAAAATATTCATAGTTCATAGAAAATAAATTTCAAAACATTTTCATTGTAATTTAAGACTCTAATGAGCAAACAATTCTATCATTTGATATCGGACAAACTAACTATGGTCTACTTTTATTTCAAAAATAAGTACACGTATTCAGTGTATACGTTTTGCCATCTGATGCAATCACCCAAGAGATTCGGAGTACGTTGCTATGGACGCCATGTGCTAGGCTAATTTAGGCCTGTTCAAAAATAAAGATACAAAACGTGAATGTAGTATCATTGTACGGTACTACATGTACTTATGAGAGTTGAACCATTTCGTTCGCAAGCGATGCCCAAAATACTGTGACCTTATATAAATAGCTGTTAAGCCAAATTTCAGTCACTAACGTATTTCAGTAAACGTGAATGTAAGAAACGAAATCTGATCAATATTATGCTTATGACGTTAGTGTTAAGTGACTAGAGAAGAAACCACTATCGAAAAGGTTACGAAATATAAGTATCTAAATGATTGAAAAGCTTCTTGTATTGACCATGCCAATTTAAATACCTCGATATATACATTTGTTTTGACATAAAGACACGTGAAACGGATGTTTACATGTCACTGTTGTTACGGTCTGGTAGGGGAGATAACTGTAATCGTCTTTGTTACTTTTATAGCACAGTTTGACATTGAATCCATGAAATAAATATATGAGTAGGTCGTGCTTTGACAATTTAAGTTGAAAGATGTCAAATAAATATAACCCAAAGATAAATATGCGTAGTACTGTATGCATCCAGATAAATTTCACGTCTCGTATGCCGAGGAAATATGGTGGACATTAACCAATGAATGAGAGGCATTTCAATCACGTGATATACATTTTTTGTGTGTTCGGGTTGTGTGTTGTTCATTGATGAATAGCGAAAGCATACTGGTTGTCGGAATAACGGGTTTTGCGCTCCCTTGCGGGACCAGGGGACAGTGAGGTTTTGTTCATAGGAAAAATAGCATTTACACTTTATAGTTTTGGAGTAAAAAGTGGAAAATGTCAGGGCAACCGCATCAGAGGGTTCGCCGAAATGCGTCCCCCATTCAGACTCACAGACCTATCAAGGCAGTGATTCCGTTCTCGTTGAAAAGCAGTCCAACGAGAAAAAGCCCCGTTTCGTCGCCTACTGCAGGTTTAATACTAACAAGAAGATCTCCAGATAGCAGGTCTTCACCAGAAAGAAAATCTCCGAATTCACCGAGTTTTAAAGGTTAGTATTTCACCGGTAAATTAGAGCGATACATTTCTTGGCAACATGCCCAAAGCTAGTGTCTTTGTCACAGTGGTAATAAAATGGCTTCATAGGACATGCAAATTCTCACAGAAAATATATGCTGATTGTTAATTCAAGAAATATGCTGAAAGACCCTACCTTAGATATATTTTTATCTGTAAATTAGAGTGTTTTATTATGACATTGTTTTTGCCATTCTTTAGTAATAATGAAATATCCACCTGTCAATGCAGACGACTTTCACAAATATTTCGCCGAACTGTGTAAGATGGCCGCACTCTTGTTCAGCTATATTTGGCATATTACCAAACTCCCGTTATGTGTCAATTGCTTACTCCTGGGTAAATATATACGTTGCTTTGGCATGCGTCCAGAAATTCATTTCTGATATAAAATTAACATGAGAAAAGAAAAAAAAGAAATGATTACTTTGTACCCTCAAACCACAGGAATCAGGATCTCGTTTCTCTGCTCAAACTGAGAGAAAAGAGTACATATCTTTGAATTTGATTTCTGGCATAGGATATTCATAAGGAATATGACTCTACAAAATTATTTATTATTTTGCAAAAGGTAACAGTTGATACATTTTTTCATTCTTTGAAGAAAAAGTCTTTCTGATTACTATAACATCTATACCATTACCAATTATTTTGGAAAGTTGAAAACTTTCGTTTATTTAATTCGAATTTCTTTTTTGAACTATCAGAGGTTTTATGGATTATGTTGGTTTTGTATGTGCTTGATATTGAGTGATGTCAATGTCTCAAGAGGCTTTGAGCTAGATTTCAAAATGGATTTGATCGAGTTAAATTCTTGCAATGGATTGATTTATTGCAATCTGGAAATTGTTTTTTGCCAGATTCTATGTATCCTTTCCAATTTTTTTTTTGTTCCTGCAGATTCCACCAGGTTTTAAATACACGTCACAGGATAGCGGGTCATGTGTTATTCCGGAAAATAATGCTAATCAAACTGCTGTCACAACAATATATCAAAACACTTGGCAATGGTTCCCGGCTACTCTGACATTGATAAGGTCACAATCGATACTAAGCCCTTTTATGACGGATGTGATACTTCATCCAATTTTGCCCAAAATTACCAATCTACCTTTATGACAAAATGGTTTGCTACTTATTTATTTTTCACTGGAGGTTTGTCAGTATACTGTAACCGGGTGGGATGTACTGCTGGGTGTCTTCGGCAGTATGTTTCAGTGAGGTAGTACTATAAATTCGGCCTCACTTTTCAGTCCCTTACAAGGAGACAAACACGAACATATCGCAGCCTCCCATAACACACACACATACACTATGCGCATGCATCTTGCACACAGGGGATCCAGAGGCCACACTTAAATGACCGTAGCTGTTGATAGGACATCAAACAATACTAAACCAAACCATATTCACTGGAGGTGAAAGGAGGCAGGACCCAAATCAGATCAGTACCTAGATCGGATCACTTTTTACAAAAATACTTTTGAATCAATAATGTGTTAACAGATCAGTTATAACAATGATGTAACCTTACAATAGATTGCCATGTACCATTTTTTGTCTAGATAGATGCATGATTAGTTTGTAAGTTAAAATAACACCAGAAAACGTAATTCAAACTCAAAAGTCAGTTTTTTCACTGTTTTGTTTACGCATGAATTTCAAGCAACTTCTATGCGGTTTTGTCCATCATAGAGTAAAAAATCCTGAGAATATAAGTGACAGTTCAATGGATATTTTACATAGGAAAGCTCAAACCTTTCAATTTTCGGTTATAATCGATCATCAGCTGAGCCCATCACTACTTTTGAGATTGCCGATTCAATTCACATGATTTTTTCTGGAAACTTGTATCTTGAAAATAATGTATGGTGGAATGTATTGAACCACTTCAAAATGTGGCAGTGTAATTTCTGTGGAGACAATGAAAATGCAGGGTGACATTACTATGCAAGGGTGTCAATTCCACTAGACTGAAGCCTGAGGGGGGAAATATAGATTTCGTGTCAGGACTAGTAACTCATTCACCCCTGAAGACACATTGGAACTCTTCCAGTTCTGAGGTTGGAATAGTTCATTATGCAATTTCAGGGGTGTATTAATTAAGCTCTTCTAAATTTGTTGTGAAAATATTTGTCCGACTAGTATGAATTTCCCAAAATCTGTGTGCAGTGCAGGCTATAGTATTCTGAACATGGTTGGAATGCCACTGTTTTGTGAAAAAAAATGATAAAAATGTAAAGGAATCAAATGAAACTAATCAAAGGCAGGGTTCAAAATTTCATAATCCAGGTGTACTGCATGCCTACTGGTGTGAATATAAGGCATTTTTTTCTGATTTCCACAAGGTTGAGCTATATTTTTATAGTAAATTTGAAAACAGTTGCTAACACGGACATAAATTCTACGTGCAGCAGGTATCAGGCTACCGAAATAGTACACCCATGAAAAAGAAAAAATACATATTGGTAATCTAACATAAATTTAAGGATTGTAATGCATGTATATAATGTATTGTTAAAATAGGATGGTGAGAAATCCAGTTGATTACCGGTAGTGCTGTATTCTAGACCTCCATAATGCAGGGATCCCCCACCCCCCCTGGGTTTTAATTGTAAGGGGGATTTTTCATGTGTTTCATGAGAGGGGAAAATTTGGAAAATGGGTGAGATATTTTCAAGCATGTCATTTTTGAGCAAAACTGCATGCGCCAAATGCAATTCCCCACCCCCCGGAAATTTTGAAATATAGAAGCTCTGTGACTGTGGTGCATTCTGAGTTTTTTTCAGGGAAAATGTAAATGAAAATGTACAAGTTTTACAGAGCCTGGGCTGAGAATGTTGTTGAATTAAATAACTTGGGATATATTCGGCTTAAATTGCTGAAATACCTTTCTAAATCTATATGTTCTACGTTGGGCATATCGAGGTCTAGATCATCTTAACGCTTCACTTCGATAGACGTTAACGAGCAAGCGTCAGAGTGATGATTCGGTTATACAAGTTATTACTGTACTTCGGCTATGAATTCTCTAAAAACATTATTAGTTTTAAAGTTAAAAACGAAAGCCTTATGATGATATTTAATGAGATATTTAATCCCATTTAGAGAAATTTATCGCAATATTTCTGAAAAAGAGGGGTAAATATCGCGATATATCGCGGCCCAGAGTGATTCCTGATAATGTGCTACTATGCATCATAATTGGGCCAAATAAAATGAAATGTGTGTTTTGAGTTCCCGACTGATTCTACTTTCTGACCCCAACACGGTATCATTCTGTTCAATTTATTTCAATTTTGTTTTTCCCAGATTTTACGAAAATAGTTTACACTTCATTATTTCCATGAACAATGATTTGTTACTTAAGAAATGAGTCAGAATCTTTTTAGAATAGTTCCTGATTAAGCAGATACATTTGGTTAAGATGGGCAAAACCTGATGAGGTCATGAGCATTGAGTAATGGCAGAACCCAAGGTGTGCAACAGTGAATATAAGCAGTAACCAGTGTGTTGTGATAGATCTCTGACGTCCAGATCTGTTGTGCATACATGTACGCTTGCATTGAAATCATCACGTACATGTCTGTCTCAAAGCATGTGATAGAAAGTGGATAATCTGTTTACCGTCATTACAATGGCAAGGTTCTGATTGAAGAAAATAAAAATAAAACAGGATTTAAAAAAATAAAAGAAAAAAATGTACAACAGAAAAAGATGAGATAAAAAAAGATCAAAGGAGTGTAGTACGTAATTATAAGAGCGTCATTCAAACAAGTAAGAAACCAAAGCATGCATCATTGGTTAAAAGTTTCCATTAGTTTACATGAGCCATGATCAATTCAACTAATTAGTTCTGATTGACGAGTATTTCCTGTTATTGTTGATCATGACAATATAATGATGTATACATACATAAACGTTTTTACTAAAATAGCACATGTATACATGTTCTATTTCTGTCTTTATCAGAAGTAAAAAATAAAGTAAAAATAAATTATCCATTTATCTGACCTACTTAAATTGTAAAGCTAAACACAATTCATTTGACCTGAATGTTGATTATTTTTTTGGTCCTTTAATATACTATGCATAGTTGTATACCATTATTTATGGTACGGGGCAAAGAAGTAATTCCAACAGTGTGGACAAGTTAAGGTTGTCAAATTTTCGGAGCAATCCGCTCCTTTTTCAAGACACAGTGAAACAGAACAGTTACATGTACATATACATCATATTACAAGAAGATAGAATTGATATACTATAATTGAAAATATAACTATTTATGGTACCATATATACATGCAACATTATACAACTATTCCTGTATTGTTGCTATGTGGTGATTTTACTCATATGAATTAGCGTTAAACATGAAAGTGTGTTCATACGCTGGAAGCTGATACGTCTGGTTTAGATGTGACTTGGTGCTACAGGATGCTACAATAATTAGAAGGGAATGGATATGTAGTCTTGGGGACATCCTGTGAATCCAAGCTTAAGCTGCAAGACATCTGTAGGCAAATATAACCATCAAACTTGCATGTTGTGCATCCATGCTGTAAAGGAATTTTTATGTTGGATTTGTTTCCAAAAAGAATTGCTTGAATTGGTTTTGTTTACCATGGTAATTGCCTAATTGGTACGTATTGCGTTGCAAGGTGAAAGGTTCCTTTTTTCTGTTCATTTTTTTGTATGCAGCAAAGTATTGAAATGAGTACCATATAGAGGCTCTTCAAACAGTTTAAACATTTAGCTCAGCAACCTAGAAGATGTTGTCAAATCCTTTGCTCTGAAACCAAAGTGATGATCGAACGGTTATAAGATAACGGAGCATCCCTTGGTCAGTTTGTTTGACGCCATTTTTTTTTTTTCCAATCACAACATGTACATTTAAGGCCCCCCTAAATGTTAGGTCCATTAACTCATTCACCCGTGAAGACATATTCGAACCCTTCCAATTCAAAGGTTGGAATAGTTCATTATGAAATTTCAGGGGTGAATGAGTGAAGAGCATCTGAAACTTGTTTTCATACACAACACTTGTGTACTCACAGCTTCTCACTAGAACTGGTGATTGGTAAACAGGCCAGGGCTCCTGTATTATACCATAGATCTACAACAATTGCAGTACAGGATCGTGTAACGAAACGAAAGGGAAATACAGAAATCACTGCGGTATATCTTTTCACCCCTTCTTGTCATGCCGTATCAATATAATTTATCAATATGCTTGGAAACTATGCCATCTTGTTCTTGAACTTCAGTCCAAATTGGTGTTCTACCTTCATTATCATGTATGAGCGAAGATCATCAAGCAGAAGCAGACGTCTGGGTGACAGGACAGGTGCACATGATCGCAATCAGTTGACTGTTCTAAAGGATCCCTGCCCTTCTGCCATTTTTCTTATATATACATACAGTATTATATTACCTCCTCTTGACTTCTGTTTAGATATAACTGGTACTAGCACATTTGGGCTTGTACACTTCTGTTTTCCAGCTGGTAACTCATCAATCAGTTTCAGCGATGGTTTAACAGTCTGAAGTCCAGGGTTCGAATCCCGGTCTGATTATACTTTTCAAAATTGATTTATCAAAGCTAGAATCATGCCGGAAAATAAGTTTTGAATGCATTGTTTAATGTTTTGGCAGGGAATCCTTACTGGGCGTTGATCATGACTCCTTACATGCCACTTCTACAGCTGCCTAATAGTATAAATGCTAGATAGCTATAGGTAGATGGCAGCCATTCCTAGGTCCATCACAGCTTGATTGGAATTTCTTGTTTTCTTTTGACTTTGCATTGCAAACTTGTATTCTCCTTGTAGCATTGGGCTGAAAATTAAACTACTAAAGTACAAGTCCACTGACAATCACTGGGAAATTCTATGCCTGCATTGCTTCATTCTTGACCCGAGGGCTTGATCATCAGGATCTGTTCATACATATACATATGTATATTTGTATAGTTGGTTTCGCCGTTCTATTCATTATTGTGACCACAACTAATGAACTATATATATATAGCTATTGAGTCATTGCAACAGCCTGCCATGTATTAATATTAGGTTTGAATCAAACTTGTAAGTTGTATTGCATTGGTGCGTTATGTAGAATATTGTTCATGACCAAGTTGAGTTTATTGGTGCAGGTCATTCAGTACTAGTGTTATTGTTATAAAATCTCTATGAATCGGTTTTCAAACAGGTGGTTGATTTTCAAAAATAGCTGGTTAAATGTTAACATACTGAAAGGTTATATTTATATATAATATAGTATAGTGAAACAGGAAAGGAAAAAGACATGGCAAGTCTTTTACTGGGATATCCATCGATCCCAACTTCAGACGGCCACTACCTGGTCACCAGCATATGACCTAGTCAAGTTCCGCTACACTCCATTCTACTTTTTCTAAGTCTTTGTCCCTGAAGACATCACTGTAAATTTACAATGCAGGTTTGGGTATCCCTTACCATGTATTCACTTAGTACTTGTACAAGATACAAGAAACTTTATTTAACGTCGCATACAGGTAAACAAGGAACACTAGCTCTTGAAAGAGAGCTATTATTGCGACATTTGTTGCAACATTTGGTCACATGCACCATGTACACTTCAACAGGATTCTAGATCAGGATTATAAATCAAGCTGAGACCCTCAAACTATGAACAGACACTACCATGGCCAACTGATCTATCTGCAGGTTGCCGGCTAATGACCCAGCCCAGTTCTATCATTACATCAGTATCAAAGTAGTTTCTCCTCCATAAAATAACTGGCTTAAAGTTTATGAAAAGCATTGGGTTTTTTGGCAGCAAATTAAACTGTGATTGGTTGATGGATTGGAATGGAGACAGTTGGATTTTAACTAATGATAGCTGACTGCATGTTGGTGAAATTTGATTACCAGTAAGCAATCCATATGGGCCCTAATTTTTGTAAGCAATTCAGAATCAAAAGCATTGCTTGTAAGATAACAGATACATTAGTTATAACCAACATTTCTTGAATATTCTCTGAATGTTACTGTCCTAAAAATCAAATTGTGAGGTAGTTACTCAAACAATTTTCTTTGGCCCAATTTACAAGTTTTCAGTTGTACTTATTTTAGTAGGTACCATTATACCAGTTAAATGACGACAGAATTCAAATAATATTTCGTGAGTCAGAGCGTAGGGCAATTTTCTTAATACCTGTCCTGGACTAGATCAAACATTATACCCTAGTGTACATGTATATGTCCGGCTACCTTTAAATACATGTGTACACAAAAGATCATAACGTCAAAGGATCAATTATGTGTAAATTAGTACGACCCTTGACCGATTTACAGAAGTGGTAAATAGATCTGGAACGATTTATAATTATAAATGTACAAAACAAATCATACTGGTGTCACATTCAATTACAAGTGGGTGTGTATATAGTGGAGTCTTCATGATCAAAACAAAGTTATACGGTCAATGATAATGTATGGGTAATTGATCTGTAAGAATTATTTGTAGGGCACCTGGTTTTAAAGTTAGGGCACCTTGCCAGTTCAACATGTGTGAATTGCAGGGCATTCTGTATGAATACACCTTTTGAGAGTATGTTTTTGACTCCCTAAAATGAGCTTTGGCTCTTGACTGATCTATATATACATTGTATGCCATTTGTTTTGCCTCTCCAAAATCCAGGAAAATATTCCTGGCTTTGAGGATGGTAATTCTCGCATGCGATCTAGATCTATACATAATATTTTGATTGGCTCGTCATGACAGGGACTTAGTTCATGAAACTGTAGCCCAGCAATTGTAAAATAATTTATAAACAAGCTATATATCCTCAAGAAATAGCATCTATCCTTTGATTTACGATGATCACATTTAATGTCAATACCTACATATAAGATGATATACATGTACATGTATGCAAAGGTATAATCTAGATTTCTACTATATTATATACTGGATATATATATATATAATGACAATTTTTATTGGTAAATAATTATAACCAGCAAGTATTATTTGACTATAAACCATAATTATATAAGTGTGCATTACACAATTGCAAACGTGAATAAGTCAACCATGTGCGACTGGTCTTGGATGAGTGGCTTTAAAATTTGTTTAGTAAGGAAACATTACATGTATCTAATTGTTTCCATATACACCTTTGTACTTGTAATATAAAATATTTATAACTTTTTCTAAATGTATACCTATAATATATTTATAACTTTTTCTGAACTATACCTACATTATGTATAGTAGCAAACTTTCAAAATTGCAACTTCTCTGACCAAGCTGAACCATATTTTATTCAGACCTATATGTTTAAAAACATACACAATCTACATTTGTATATATGGTTGATCAGTTTACAATACTTTCAAATGCTTTTGCAATTTTACTGGGTGTTTAGTAAAACCTCATAAATATCATGAAAGATTATAAGCTAGTTATAGGGCGTACTTCTATAAATTGAGTATAAGATTGAAGATCTATTTAACCGTATAAGGATTCACAAGAAATTGGAAAAAGCAAAAGCAAAATTTGTATTTGAATTTACTGTTTGGTTGTTTTCAGTAGAGAGACCAAAGCCAGTAAAAGCCAGTGCTTCGTTGCGGCGGACAGGTTCACTAGAGGCAATATGTAGTCCAGCTGCTTACCTCAAGGGACAGTGGCCATCAGGAGATCTACTGTCAACCAGCCACTTTATGGTAGATAAATACACACAGGTGAGTTCTAGGAAGTAAACCAATAAAGTAAACCAATCATTAACACACCTGTATTACATTTGTACAAAAGACGATTAAGATGACTGGTTAAATACGGTACATACTTTACTTTGTGTACATGATATGGGTATAGGTCACATGTTGGGTAGGTCATATGTTGGGTACTTCACTGGTTAAATACGGTACTTTACTTTGTGTATGTGATATGGGTATAGGTCACATGTTGGGTAGTTCATATGTTGGGTACTTCACTGGTTAAATACGGTACTTCACTTTTTGTATGTGATATGGGTATAGGTCACATGTTGGGTAGTTCACAGGTTAAATACTGTACTTTACTTTGTGTATGTGATATGGGTATAGGTCACATGTTGGGTAGCTCACTGGTTAAATACGGTACTTTACTTTGTGTATGTTATATGGGTATAGGTCACATGTTGGGTAGTTCACAGGTTAAATACGGTACTTTACTTTGTATATATGTGATATGGGTATAGGTCACATGTTGGGTAGTTCACCGGTTAAATACAGTATTTTACTTTGTGTATGTGATATGGGTATAGGTCACATGTTGGGTAGTTCTCCGGTTAAATACAGTATTTTACTTTGTGTATGTTATATGGGTATAGGTCACATGTTGGGTAGTTCACTGGTCAAATACGGTACTTTACTTTGTGTATGTGATATGGGTATAGGTCATATGTTGGGTAGTTCACAGGTTAAATACGGTACTGTACTTTGTATATATGTGATATGGGTATAGGTCACATGTTGGGCAGTTCACTGGTTAAATACGGTACTTTACTTTGTGTATGTGATATGGGTATAGGTCATATGTTGGGTAGTTCACTGGTTAAATATGGTGCTTTACTTTGTGTTTGTGATATGGGTATAGGTCACATGTTGGGTAGTTCACCGCTTAAATACGGTACTTTACTTTGTGTTTGTGATATGGGTATAGGTCACATGTTGGGTAGTTCACTGGTTAAATACGGTACTTTATTTTGTGTACATGATATGGGTATAGGTCACATGTTGGGTAGGTCACATGTTGGGTAGTTCACTGGTTAAATACGGTACTTTACTTTGTGTATGTGATATGGGTATAGGTCACATGTTGGGTAGTTCACTGGTTAAATACGGTATTTTACTTTGTGTATGTGATATGGGATTAGGTCACATGTTGGGTAGTTCACCGGTTAAATACGGTACTTTACTTTGTATTTGTCACATGATAGGTAGTTCCTTGTATACATAAGTATGGCTAGTTCAGAGATCAAGTACGGTACTTTTCACGTTTACTGTACTCCTGGCAATGTACGTCACAGGTGAGATATGCTACTCATGGTGCATATAAACAATAAACACGGCTAGAGTCAGGTGACGAAATTCTTCAAGTACGTTTGAATGTTTACCTGAAATTTATTGATTTGAAAACTGAAAATTTATGGGTTGTGTTCATCAGCTTTTCCTTCATTTGTTTTGCTTTTGTTATTAACAGTTGAATATGTACGTGTAATAAACTAAAGCTGATAAGCTACATATACACAGGGAAAACCTGAAATGTCAGAAATCAATATCTTTGTCAAGAAAAATGACTCAATTTGAGATTAGAATCTGTCTTCATTAGTTACCTGTAGGCGAGACAAACTACAGATATACGTGCTTCATAATATGTACTTGTATAGAAAGCAGAGAAGTTGAAGTACAACATAATTCATGTTTATTCACTAATGTGTTTGTCCCATCCCATTTTACAACCCTCTCAATATCACTATATTGATCAGTGGAAATGTGTTCAAATCACTGAAAAAAGGGAGAGAACGTCGCCACACCTTCATTGATCTGCCTCTCCAATCCATTGCCAGTATTGATCTCCTCAAATAGCTATCACTTATTCAAGTGGAATGGACTCTGTCATGATGGGAATTCCATAGCTGGATCCCTGGAAGTGGTTACATACTGGGGATAAATGATAAATCTACATTCCATTGCCAGTAGATATACATGTATATAGGATCTGATACGTCGGAGATCATGACTCTGAAATTTGCATACTCGGGCTGTACGGCTGTTAATTTTCGCCATTACCACATGCGTTCACTCAACCGTGAACTGCTATAATATAATGGTGATCATTATTTCATTAAACGTTTTTTTTATAGCTTTTTGTCTAAAATTGATCATGATTTTACGCCATATGGCGTATGTACATGGCCTGTTGTCATCAACATCACACTAAAAAGTAGATGCCAAGCTCAATGGCGAAAGGGATCTTGACTAAATGTGGTGAATTTATATTTAGTGTTGTATGTTTAAATGAAAGATGTGACCTTTTAGGGGTGGGGTGGGCGGTAGGGGAAATGGGGTAAATGTTTCAGAGATAACATTTTTAGGTAACTACAATGTACTTGTGTTATAAAGACACAATTATTTCCCAAGACATGACACTTGTTTCCCTTAATCTTGTCTATGGTCTATGAATACTGCTAACAACAAGAGAAAACGACTCAATTAGTGGCCGGTATAAATGTGATATAGCTTGATGTTACATCATGTTAATTCAGGCATGCTGAGGCACTGCACCAGATCATGTAAAAGATATATTAATTTCCATTAATGAAAATTTCCCAGGAAAGGTATTGCCAGCTATTGTTTATTTTATCAAACATTAATTTGTCATAGCTGTATATATAGAGAGTGGGAAAATATAATCAATTCCAAAGTTAATTATCCTCGCGCCGATAAGGGGAGCTAATCAACGAGAGGAGACATATAATGTTTGGGGAATCACCAATGGTACTATGTTTATTGATTAATGTATGAATATCGAGGCAAAGTTTACCATGTTATCATTACACAGGTAAGTCATATGGCTTATGTTAAGGAAATGTCATTATCAAATGTTGTAAAATGATTATTAGACATGAAATATTTTTAAAGGTATTTTCAATTTTGATATTAAGAAGGTACATACAGGGATAATCCTGGATGGGGCCATGAGGCCATTGACCCTTTGTAACTGAATTCGAAATTGACCTCCATACTCCATTTTAATTTTAATTTTACATAGAATGGCCCCTCTTAATTTTGATATTGACCAAAAAATTGCTGAAAATGGCCAATGTACTGCTCTTAAATTCCAGGATTTTCTCTGTGCATAAATACATATTCCTATTTCTATTTCTAAACCTGCTGTTATGAAAATCAAGGTTGAAATTCTTGATACAGATCAATGTTAACATTAGTGTGATTCTGAGTCCTAAAATTTGGCAATCAAATTGAAGCTACATAATCTACATGTACAAAAATTATCTTCAAAATTTAGTTTTCATGCATTTATATTATATAATAATTATAACATAAGATATGTTTTGACATATATATACTGAAAACAAAAAATTAGACGAAGGTTCAAATAATAGCAAAAACTGAATATAGTAATACACTGTATTGCGGGCTGTGCAATGTATAGCCATGACCACTATAACCCTTTATCATATGGAAACTTAGCACCTTTATTTATTAAACACGTCTTGGTTGCTTGGTTCTCACATCTTTATGTAAACTTCCTGGCTTAAAATCCAATATGAAACAGCTACAGGCTCTCCAGTATGTAGATATGAAAGATTGGATTTCAAATTTTATCCGGAGTTTTCACACCGACAATGTGCCATTGTTACGTATCTTTGACAAATTCAATTTCAAATGAGAATTTTAATGTTGACCTTTCTTACTGTGTGACTCAATATTCCTGGGTAAACACTGGCTGTACTGACTGTAGGTGGGTGTTGATTGTTTGCTGGTGTGATTAGTGTCTCGTACAGTATGTGTCTGGTACACTTACACACTTTTACTGTAGAACTTGTAAGCATGTGGAAGGTGATCAGACTCAAGTTGAACTCCGTGTTTACATGTATTCCTCATAACTACACCTTCAATAAGGTCTTGTTAGAATGTGAGTGTCGCCTTTTATCATTTCAGACAGTTAGAAACTTCATTTTTTTTAAATTTCTTTAATAAAAGATGTTTTTGTTTGGCAAACAGTGGGTTTAATGATTCTGACTGTAATAATGCAAATTTTATATAAAGGAGTTTGGGCGTCATTTTTTCTTTGGGTAAATCATTTGGTCTCATATTTATATAGATATCAAAAGACTGATTCTACTAAAATCCTACAGACAGCTCCCTGACATAACTTAACAACTATATTAAAAAATAGCTAACTATTGATCATGAGGACTCGCTGTAAAAAGACAAATCTGATAGATCTGCTTTGAAATAAGTTTTAACAACCAACATGCAGTCATTAGGCCAAAAAAAAAAGATGTCTGTTTAGGGTTCCCGGCCGACCCTAGCTTTTTACCCCCGACCCAAAACTTTTTAATGAAAAAAAAAAAAAAAAAAGCTCTGTGTTGGCGCTAAATGTCATCATATGGAGCACAATTTGCCTCCAATTGAACCTTGTTTTTGTAATTCTTTGTTTTACATACAATAGTAATCACATGACCACAAGGTACATAAAGATATACAAAAAAAAAAATTCCGACCTACCTACCCTTGTTTTTTTTGCCCATGCAACCCTAAACAGACTATATTTTTTGTTTGGCCTTATGAATACTTTTTTAATCATACAGTAATATTTCTATTTAATGTACAAATTTCCATGTATTGGCCATGTCAGTTCCTGCTATAGAAGGACCCAGACCCTAGAAGTGCTATAAGTGTGTTTTTGATATATTGACAGAGATGGTATGTCTATAAATGCTGGAAACATTTACAGACTTGTAAAGTGAAAATTACATTTGTAGTACTGTATAGCGGTTATATTTCGCGTTTTTTTTAATTTAGCTATATTGGCACTTTGACTAATAACTGCGAATTCTAAACACCAACGAAATTATCGAAAATGTTAACCACTTTTACGGACCTTATCACAACATGTTGAAAATACTTATCACCCCACGTTGTTATGCAAACTTAAATGAACTCAAATCAGATTCTCACCGGACAACTGGGCAGTCCATATAAAAACAACACTTACATATGTGGCCACAACATATTTATGAACAGTGTTTTCAAACGGTTTACCTGTATTTCGAGGTTTAACCCAGGATGACACTCATAGTACTTGGCCTGGGTGCACAGCTAAATTTAATCCCCGCGAATATGTCCTGAATATGAAACAGCGAATTATTGAACCCGCAAATTTAAAGCGCTATACAGTAGATTAGAAAGTATGAGGTAGTACTTCTGTAATTTGTGATTTTGAAAAAAAATCCAATTAAAAAAGGTAGGGATTACCTGTTGGTTTATAATGAGCTGTTCACTGTACGTGTAGGTGAAGAAATGGAACGATGTTGTGATTATATTGCTATGAGATTCTTTCACAAAATCTCTTACCTATATATATATTAACCCATCCACCCCTAAAGTCACATTTGAACCTTACCAAATCAAAGACTGGGCAAGTACACTTTAGATATTTAGGGGTGAATGAGTTAAGGCAGCAGTTGATGAAAAAATCATTTGAATATATTTATTAATATAAGTAATTGAAGATTTGATGGTAAATCTGGTACTGAGCCAATTCAGCAAAGCATCTTTTTAAAACACTTCAAGGTGACATCACAGTTAACTTTAATCTTGAAATGTCCTCCCCCCTTGTGACAAGATCTGTAATTGGTATCTGGTGGTATACCATGTATATGGCTTGTGACTACATACATGTAAAAGTAAATTCTGATGGTAATTGAATAATTTCTAGTAAAAACTTGTGTATAACATGGTATACATATGTCTTTTATTTTATCAATTCTGGTGACATAGTGTGGATTTTGATTGGTAACTTTTGGTTGTACATGTTTAACCCTTTCACCCCTGGGATACTTGAGTAGACTCTTATACCATACATTCATCTGATGAGTCTATTATGGTCTACAGTGGTGAAAGGGATAACGTGTGTAGGACTTGTACAGTAATTGCTAAGTTCTGGTGGTACATGTGACTTGTGTTGTAATCGTTACACATTTTCTGTACTTACAGACAGAGATCCCTGATGAGCTAGAAGTACAACACAGGGGACAGAAAAGTAACAAAAAGAAGAGAAAGAGTCACCGGCGGTCGGCATCATTTGGACACGGAGACCAACTGGCTGTGAGTATGACTACATTAGTCATTGAACTAATTTACATCTAATTTTAAGTTATTTTACCAATGGACAGGTCTCCTTTAAGTGTAGATTTAATTTGGCAACGTCATGGAACCGAGCAGGTTAGCTGCACCAGCAGTTGTGTCATAAATCCCTAAGTTAAGGATTTTTGCAGTTTCCTAAATATTCTTTTGAATTTCATTTAACCACCAAAGTGTCTAGATCTGTCTACAGAACTTAAGCCTTTTTCACTGGCATACAGTGGAATAAAGATTTGTGAATCTTGATGGTATTAATTTTATTATAAACCAATAAACAAATTGACGTCGCTGTGAAATGCTGAGAATTGTAAACCATTTTTCCATTCTTATTTCAATGGAACGTTCAAAATATGGCATTTCTCCAAACTTTTATTTTATAAAATCCTATCATATTTTTGTCTTGATCAAAACTCCTTTTACTCTCCTGTAAAATCTAAAACACTGCTGTTTTGGGTTTTCAATTTAGACATTGCTCAGTGTTTATCGAATATTATTTCAAATTTGTCGACTTGCTGAAAATGCAATAGTGCAGGAAAAGAGGAGATTTTTCAGGGAAAGAAATATCAATCTAATTATGTCCTCAATCTGACTACACAGCGGCAGAATCCTGTGTAAAAAGGAAATCATCAGGCTGTTGTCCGTCCCAAATTGAATTTTATTTCACTGTACTTTTTTTTACCTAACACGACAAAGCCAGCAGATTTGCTTCACATTGCATGAAATTGAGGCATTTCACTCTTACCATTAATTCAATTTCATACCTATCCATATATATCGTGGTTGTTAGGCTGGTATGGATTTGGTCGGTGAAAGCATGGCCGCATTCAAGTCAGCTCTAATACCTCTGAAGTCACCCGTACAAATTGAATTTCACAGGCATGGTATTACGGAGATGCATTTCAATGAAAGGCAGCTTTCATTTGAAGTAAAAAATAATTGTAACGAATGTTCATTTTGATAAAGTTGGAATAATACTTTGTACAGATAAGGACCTGGTTATCTCCTACTGTTTGCTAATGCATGTTCAAAATGATATTTTACAAAAGCTTTTCAGATTAATGACTCATGTCTGATAGTGATAAGTTCACACATTGACGTAAAATAGTATAACAAAACCTTCATTTTCAAAGAAATAGTTTGGCAAAGCTGATTATAAGGCTCAATATTACATCAAGATTGACGATGTTGGGAAATCTGCTGCTGGAAAATGTGATTGAGTCCTGCTGATATGTGTCTACAGCAAACTCATTACTATGTTTATACAGCTAACTTATTCCTATTGTATGTTTATACAGCTAACTTATTCCTATTGAATCTTTATACAGCAAACTTATTCCTATGTTTATACAGCTATAACTTATTCCTGATATTTGTCTTCAGCTAACTTATTCATATTGTATGTGTCTACAGCTAACTTATTCCTATTGAATCTTTATACAGCAAACTTATTCCTATGTTTATACAGCTATAACTTATTCCTGATATTTGTCTTCAGCTAACTTATTCATATTGTATGTTTATACAGCTAACTTATTTTATCATTGTATCTTTATACAGCTAACTTATTCCTATTGTATCTTTATACAACTAACTTATTCCTATTGTATCTTTATACAGCTAACTTATTCCTATTGTATGTTTATACAGCTAACTTATTCCTATTGAATCTTTATACAGCTATAACTTGTTCCTGATATGTGTCTACAGCTCACTTATTCCTATTGTATCTTTATACAGCTAACTTATTCCTATTGTATCTTTATACAGCTATAACTTATTCCTGATATGTGTCTACAGCTAACTTATTCCTATTGTATCTTTATAGAGTTAACTTATTCCTATTGCATCTTTATACAGAAAACTTATTCCTATGTCTATTCAGCTATAACTTATTCCTGATATGTGTCTATAGCTAACTTATTCCTGTTGTATGTTTATACCTGTAGCTAACTTATTCCTGTTGTACATGTCTATACAGCTAACTTTACTGTTTAAAATTAAGAAAGTTCCATTAATTTTGTTGTATGCTGATACAACTGACTTATTCCTGTCACAGATGTTTATGTTAATCTAATAGGTTATAGTTAAACCCTTTCCTGTTGTTTTGTGCTCACAGTTGATTCGCCAGCGGTTACAGCGATCCAAGGAGGGTAGTAAGCAACAGAATGAGTTATATAAGCAGCCTGTCCCGGGCAATCACCTGGCTTTGTCGTCAACGGCCCCAGCTGTGTTACAGAGCTTTACCCGCACCTCAAAGCCACTCGGGATCCCTGCTCACGTCATCCCCAAAACAAACATCTCGCGGATGCAGCGAAACAGTGTCGAGGGCCTCAGCATGGTCAGTATATCTACATTTTCTGGTCTCTCTTTTACCGTTCAGACCTCAAAAGAGATGTTCACGCTTTTGTTTCTGATTCATTAATTGGAACAGGTAATTGCAATATTGTTGTCAGCGATGAGATATTTTGTTGCAATATCTTAAAAGTTGGTGATAAGTGAATAAGTTTTAAGAAGTGTTTAAAAAATGGGCAGGGGTGCTCATTACAGTAAAAATGATAAGCTGAGGTTTAGAGGTAATTAAAATGTACCGCCCTTTTCCTGTTAAGAGTTTATATCACATGACTTCTTTCCTTTTTGATATGTTCCGTTCCTTTACACTCCTCCCATCCCGCCCCGTCTCTGTCTGTTGTCTCTACCCCCTCCCTACTCTCCACATCTAAACAAGTTATTTCTCTATTCACTTCCTTCTGATTTGTAAAAACAACAATTAAGCCAGAGGAAATGCTTGCTAATGGACTTATTGTTACCAAACAGCTGACACATTTCCAGTAGGTAGCGGCATGCTGCAGCACAGAATGAGCCTGTGTCAGTGTCCTGTGTCTGGTGTCTTGTTCTAGTGTGATTGGCTGGCTAGTGTACATGTTGTAACGCTGGAGATGACTCAATGTGATTGAGATCTCAGATTGCATGCGTTCTAATAGTTAATTCTGTGGCCAAGACATAAATTTGGAAACTTGAAAAAGGTCAAGGACAATCTTATTCAATTTAACTCTTTATTTCTTTAACGAGGATTACATACAGCCTGGATGCTACTAGATGCTTTCATCAGCATATATAACAAATGTACAATGACAAAATATGACACAGATATGAGACGGATCTTATTGCAGCATTATGTCACAATCCTTGTAAACATATATGGCTTTGTAGTAGGATTTGCGTCCTAATTCTATGAGAGTTTTTTTCAAAATTTGTTTTTATATTTCATATTTGTTGTATATCTTCATTTCAAGTCAAAACTAATACATTGCCGTAGGATTTGTTTTGATGTTAATTAAAACGTCTTGAAAAGATTAAAAAAAAGAAAAGTTCTGTAATAGTGTTTGTATATATATATTCAGCTAACAGTCTTTTTGGTCAATATCGAGGTGAATTTATTACTTGAATATGTTTAAGAAATGAGAGAATTTCCCCTACTCCCCCTACGCTACAGTTAGACGGTACAGCCTGACTAAGGAAGTGTCAGTGACTCACAAACTTCTAGATGGAGTTGTCGTTTACTGAATTAAGTTATAGAATAAAACATTACATCTTTCTCCAACTCCCCTCACATCTCACCATTCCTACAATAACGTGTAGATGGTCCAGTCCTGAGTCCTCGTTATGCACAGACATAGTGTTGAAGGCCTAAGCATGGTAAGTTCACTATCATTTCAATGTTACACATTTTCACATCCTCAATAGTTTTATAGCAGGTCCTAGAAATACAGGCTTTTGTTGGAAGTTTTTTTCCGAAAATGACTCATATGATTATTTTGGCATCCACATCTCATGTAAAAAGACTTTCGGTAAATGTAATAAAACTATTTTTCTAATTCAGTCTAATTTGCTTCATAAATTTTGTATGCATGTGTATGTGTGTTTTGGAACCTGTAGGTTTTGTCAGATAGGGAAGTTGACATGTCTATTAACAGATGGAGTCCCACATGTACCGTCAACCTAAGTAAGATACACATGGACCCGTCATGTTCTCAGGGTAGTTTTAACTCATTCACCCCTGAAGACACATTTGAACTCAACCAATTCAGCGGTTGGAATAGTTCATTATGAAATTTCAGGGGTGAATGAGTTATTATGAAGGTAGATAGAGTAGCATGGTTTTCTAGTCACTTGTAACATTTTACTTTATTAGGACTTATGAACAATGCAACTGAAATATTTGCAATTAAATGTTAGAGACTTTCATCATAGCATAAGTCTCTAAAACAGCTCTTCCATTAGTGAAATACTGGTAATTAAGTGTTGTATATCTTATATATCCTGCAATAAGCCCAGGTGGCTAATGCATAATCTCTAGTTCAAAGTATCGGGATTGGCTTATACCTGAGACAGCGGAACAGTGGGAAATGAAGATGGGTTATTAATGGTCATTAAATTAAATGAGAAATGTTAATGAGTTAGGGGATGACAAACAGGAAATGAGGATGACAGATCAGAATAATTAATTTCGACTCGGATATTGATTTAATAAACTACCAATATACTGAAGTTACCTGTGGGTAGATGAGCCAACACCAACTATAGAAATGATGTCATGTCAGACAGTGACACCACAGTCACTGTGCTGGTACATGCATTTCTGGAGATATTTCTACGGTGTTTCAGTGCATTTCGGTTAACTTACAATATTTTAAATTTGTTTCATGACAATGTACAAGGATAGAATGATTGAATATGTTTACTGGCAATGTAAAGATAGAATGATTGAATATGTTTACTGGCACTGTAAAGATAGAATGATTGAATATGTTTACTGGCACTGTAAAGATTGAATGATTGAATTCAATATGTTTAACTAGGTAATGGTAATGTAAGGGTTGAACTATTGAATATGTTTAATGTCAATGTAATTATAAGGATTCAATGATAATAATAATAGTGCTTTATTTATAGAAGGTAGCTCAATTAGTTACAAAACTATTCTCCCTTGAGGCCATCTCTCATTGCATAGATTTGAAATACAATTCTAGCATAATTACAGCCAAACATGTTGCTGTAAAATGTATAGTAAATTAATTGTACATGGCCACAATGTAATTATATTATCAATACTTAAATATGAAATCAAGAAGCTATACATAGTAATTTACAGACAACATTGCAAAGATTGTAATCTTTCTAGTACAGGAACTTAATAACATGGAGGGTACAGCAATATGGTCATAATACAAGATTGAATTCAACATTTTTTGCTGAGTAATGACAATGTTAGGGTTGAATGGTTGAATATGTTTACTAGCACTGTAAGGGTTGAATGGTTGAATATGTTTACTGGCACTGAAAGGGTTGAATGATTGAATTCAATATGTTTACCCGAGTAATGTCAATGTATATATATATAGGTTGAATTATTGAATATGTATAATGGCACTGTAATGGTTGAATGAAGATGAGAGATGACAGATAACTGTGATGTCTTACAAGGTGTTAGACAAGAGATATAATGCTGACAGTGTTAAAAGGTTGTAGACCAGGCTGATGACCAAATCACCTCACTACACTGTAGGACAGACAGGGGGAGGGTGTAATGGAGAAACGATGGAGTTAGTAATGGTTGTATAACCACAGGCCATGATAATGGGCATATATTCATGAAGAACATGTAATTGTACAAAATCAATAGTGTTGTTAGCTGTTCATCAGCCAGGTAGCTGGCTTGTGGTAGACAGGTAGGTACACAGTCAACTTCAGGCCAAACCTATCTAATCCTGTGTTGATCTTCTTTCTTGTTTGGCATTTTTTTAAGATAGTCAATCTTAGGCCAGACCAATGTAATGCTGTGTTGATCAACTGTCTTGTCCAGGGAGCTGGTTTGTGGTAGATACAAGTGTACACAGTTAACTTCAGGACAAACCTATCTGTCGCTGTGTTTATCATCTGTCTTGGCTACATGTTGGTAGCTGGTCATGACTTGTTGTAGACAAAGGTACATAGTCAACTTCAGGCCAGACCTAACTAATCCTGTGTTGATCATCTGTCTTGGCCAGGCCAGACCTAACTAATCCTGTGTTGATCATCTGTCTTGGCCAGCATTTTTTTTGAAGGACGCATAGGTACACACTCAACCTTAGGCCAAACTAACATAATGCTGTCTTCTTGTTGTTTGTATTGTCTTTCTTTGCCAGGCATTGTGGCAGACATTAAAATATATACCAGTAGGCTCACAGTTGATGTTAGGCCTGACCAACTTAATGCAGTTGTCAATATTGATGAGAAAAAAGTATAGCAACATGTTAAGTGTGAACTTTTCGCAATACTTTATTACATATACATCAAAACCTGTATAAACACTAAACAAACCTTCATCTCTTGTAAAATCGGATATTGAATCGCTGATGGATCAAGGTTTAAAACATTTGGCAAAAAGATAAAAGAAAAGTTTAATCTTGACAATGCATAGTTGACGATACAAAAGATTTCGGAAGATCAATATTGGATCTTCTTTCATTAAAGAAAATTGGTGGGCAAAACAAACCTTCATCTTGATATCAGTGTATCATATCAGTGCCATATTTAGTGTATTTCACCTGATGAAATAGTCATTATCAGAAATTAGACAACTGTCGGCACAACGTCATAGAATTGGGAACAGTAGTCATGCTCACAGTGAAGATGGCAGCACTGGCAGATTTGCTGAAGGTCAAAAAAACAAAAGTTTCCCATGAGTGATCGCAATTACAATGTATTTACAAAAACTGAACAAAACTGTGGAAATGTCTAATAGTCAGGTGAGCTGAGTTTTCTGGTTGTAGCGGCTAGCAATTTGAGAAAGGGTATAGGTTAAATACTAACATTTCACATCTAAATATAAATAGTGACTTTTCCCACAGATATTAATGCATTGTTAGATGCTGATAAAACTCAGCTGCCAAAGCAACTAGCACTGTTTTTAAGGTGTTGGTATTTGAAGCAATGATGGCCGCAAAGAACAATGATGCAGAAACTAAGTGGGAGTTTGAAAATGAATCATTCACTCAGTATCCCCAGTGACCATCCTTGTGTTCTCACATTACAGTCGTAACATCTCCAATGACCACCCTTGTGTTCTCACATTGAAGAGTCGTAAGATCTCCAGTGACCACCTTTGTGTTCTTTCATTGAAGAGTCATAAGATCTCCAGTGACCACCCTTGTGTTCTTACATTGAAGAGTCATAAGATCTCCAGTGACCGCCCTTGTGTTCTCACATTGAAGAGTCGTAGGATCTCCAGTGACCACCTTTGTGTTCTTTCATTGAAGAGACATAAGATCTCCAGTGACCACCCTTGTGTTCTCACAT